TTTGTCCAGACCCACAGAATGCCCACCACGCGGACCGAACCTGCGGACTCTGGTTGATGATGACGTGTCCATGTAGGTTCATCAGCTGTAACAAATGTACCATCTGGTGGGAGAGGCGAAAGCTGGGGTGGCTGTGAGTGGGGGGAATGGGGTTTATGGAAAATCTCTGTACCTTCTCCTCAGTTTTTCCATAATCCTAGAACTGCTCTAAAAAATTCTTAATAAAAAAAAACTATTAAAAATTGGAGCACCTGGGTGGCTCAGTCAGTTAAGTGCTTTTAGCTCAGGTCATGATCTCAGGGTCCTGGGATCGAGCCCTGAATTGGGCTCCCTGCTCAGCAGGGAAGCTGCTTCCCACCTCCCCCACACCTGCCTCTCTGCCTACTTGTGATCTCTGTCTGTCAAATAAATAAATAAATAAAATCTTAAAAAAGTGTCTAGAAAATATCATTACAGTTTTGAATCATTTGGCTCAATGTGGTTATAAGGTAGCACCACAAGAGGCTCAAATTTGCAAAGAAAAAGTGATTTATCTTGGGTACCTACTACAACAGGGCAACAGAAGTCTCCTGTCAAATAGGAACCATTATGAAAGCAGTCTAGGCTTGGTTGTGTAAATGCACTTTATTCAACTTGAAGAGACACTGTATCCATTTGTGGCCACTCATTAACCTCCTTAGGGATTCAAACGCTACTCCAGAGAATTCTGATTCTTGTCCTGTGGAGCGCCGACCAGCTGTGCTCCCAGCTGCCACATGCCAGGAGTTGGGACCGCGATGGATCGGAAGACCCAGCGGGAGCAGGAGGGCACCTGGGCACCGGGGCCCCTTCCACTCGCCAGGGGACTCCCGTGGGGCCTCGGTCAGGCCAAGCACGGACCCCTCCTGGTCGGCTCCCTCGCTCCTCACAATCCAAGCAGAGCCAGAGAACAAGGCTCCCAAAAGAGCAATAGGTCTTGACGGTTTCCAGGCCCTGAAAGTTGTTTTTCTTTTGCTGTGATGCCAGCGCCTGCGTTAGTCTCTGGCTGCGGGCACACCTACTTCAGACACAGCCCTCGTGAAACCCACCTTGCCCGCCCCTCGGCTAGAGAAAGACCCGGCCTGGCCCCCTGTCCTGCAGGCTCCTCTGCGTATAGAGATCTCCGTCGACTTTAATCGGTGGAGGAGGCCAGACTTAGAAGAACCTCATTCGCAGAGAACTACTAGAGCATAACTGAAGGACGTCACTTTGATCAGTGACCATTCGGCCCACTTGTGTTTTCTCTTTCGCAGCTTTAAATTCCGGCTCCTATGTTTTCAGTTCATCAATAAAGAGTGAGCCCTTGAAAATCTAGGCCTCCATCCTTGACCCCAATAAAAGCAGAACCCCAAGCCTGCACTTTCTGTCTCTCTCTGAGACCCCACGGGGGCCTCAGGTATGCCAGGTGCTCTCCAGGACCTGTGAGTAATAACCCTTTTTTTCACTGTTCCTGACGGTTACTGCTGAGAGGGTCGTGCAGTTGCAGGAAGCACGAAGGCTGGCCCAGTCACACACTGGTTAGGGACAGGCTGAACTGGCATTTCTAAGCACTTGGAATGTTTGACACTCATTTCAGCGGGCTTGAAACGCCCCTGTGAAGGGAAAACATTATTTACCCTGTGACTCCCGAGGTCCACCCACAGGCTGGGGTGCTGGGTCCCTGAGAGAAGGGGTTTCCTGGGGGAGAACGAGGCGTCCCCGGCCTGGGGCTTGTGCTGGGAGCTCTCCTACCTGTGGAGACAGAGGGCATGTGCCTGTTATGACCAGAAACCCCACCCGCACCGGTTACCCTGGCCACCAAGGGCCTCAGGCCAGTGAGGACGAAGAGGCCGCTGTGGCGGGGTGCTAGTTGTGCCCGCAGAATGCACCCTCCAGAATGCCGGGTCTGGGTGGAAGGAGGAGCATTTCCCCTTCCTGCTTACTGTTAGCGGGGCCTCTTCATGCTAGAAGGACTCCTGTTCCATTGGGGCAGGAACAAACGGGCTTGGGCCCACCTTCTGCTGTTGGTTGGAGAGGTTTACGACACCCACCCCTGTGTTTTCCAGCCATGCGCTCCAAACCAGTTTGCCTTCCTCTTTCCACTTCCCAGATTTCTCCTTTGGATGTCAGTTATGTCCATGGTTTACAGTGGTTCTGACCCAAAGGAGCAAGTCTGGACAAGTCTGGCAAGGTCTGGGCCATCTACTATGGACCCAAGGTCTGTTCAGCTTAAAAACACCTGCTAGACTGTTTCCAAACCAACAGTCCCATTTCACGTGCCCAAAAGCAGCACATCCTTACCCCTCACACCATAGCGTCAGACTTCTGACTTCTAGCAGTCGAGTGGGCACGTGATGATTCTCACTGTGGCTTTAGTTTCCCATTTCCCTGACAACTAACGGTGCCGAGCATCACTTGTGTGTCTGAGGCCATCTGTGCACCTTCTCTGGTGAAATGTCGGTTCAGATCTTTTGCCGAATTAAAAAAAACTTGGGTTGTTTGTCTTATTATTGAGTTCTAAGAGCTCCTGATATATTCGAGATACGCATCTAGATGTTTTGCAAATATCTCATAAGTCTGTGAATTGCATTTTATATACACAAACCTTTTGAAGAACAAGTCTTTTTCTTTTAACTCTTTAATTTTCAAGCCCAATTTTATTATATTTTCTTGTGTGTGTTGTGTGTGTGTGTTTTAAAGATTTTATTTATTTGAGAGAGGGAAAAGGAGAGCAAGCAGGGGAGAGGGAGGCAGAGGGAGACAGAGAATCTCAAGCAGACTCCTTGCTGAGCAGGGAGCCCAACGCGGGGCTCGGTCCCAGGACCCTGTGATCATGACCTGAGCCAAAAATAGAGCTGGACGCTCAACCGACTGGGCAGCCTAGGTGCCTCAGTTTGAGCTTTCTGAGACGGATTTGAGAAATATTTGCCTCGTTCACTGTGTATTAGCCCCCTATGCCTGCTGTAATAAATCACCACAAATTAAGCAGCTTAGGACCACACGAGCTTATTACTTTGCAGCTGGAAGTCTGACATGCTTGGATGGTTCCTCTGCTGAGACTCACAAAGGCCCAGACTGAGGTGTTCACCAGCTTGGCCCCCAGGAAGAACCATTTCTAAGGCTGGTGAGGAAGAACCATTTCTAAGTTTCAGCTCCTTCCTGCTCTAAGACTGTGGCCCATTTCCCTGCAGGCTGCCTTCTGAGGTGACCACAGCCCCTACAGGCCTCGCCCCCTCTTGCACTGGGCCCACACCTTGGAGAGCCAGCAAAGGCATGGCAAATACTTGCTTGGAACCTCTTATCCCCTCCTGCCAGTTTCTCTGACCTCCATTCTCCCCTTTTAAAGGCTCCTTTGATTAGATTGCCCCCCCCCCCCAAAATAAATCAGGAGAGTCTCTTTAATCGTAAAGCCTATAACCTTAATTACATAGTTTCCCAGGGATTAAGGTGTAGGTATTTTGGGGGGGCTTTTCTCCTGTTTTCTTACAGAAAATGGATCAACTTTAGCTCTTAACATTTAGTTCTCTGTGAACATATTTTTATTGTGGAAAAATACACTTATCTTTGCTATATATATATATATATATATATATATATATATATTTAAAGATTTTATTTATTTATTTGACAGACAGAGAGATCACAAGTAGGCAGAGAGGCAGGCAGAGAGAGAGGGGGAAGCAGGCTCCCTACTGAGCAGAAAGCCCGATTCGGGGCTCCATCCCAGGACCCTGGGACCATGACCTGAGCCGAAGGGAGAGGCTTTAACCCACTGAGCCACCCAGGCGTCCCGCTATATTTATATTTTGATACATTTTAATTTTTGCACATGGAGAGGTACAGGCTGAGGTTCTGTGTGTGCGCATGTCTATGACCAGCTGCTTGTTCCACTGCCATTTGGGGGAAAAGATTATCCTTCACCCAGTGACATCAAAGGCATCATTTAAAAAAAAAAAGAATTAACCAAAAATCTATGTGTAGGTCTGTTTCTGGATTCTCTACCCTGTTCTAATGATCTATTTATTATCTTTATGCCAATTACATGGCCTTAATTATTATAGTTTTAGAAATCTTGTAATCAGATTAAGTCCTTCAACGTTTCACTTCTCTTTGAAAGTTTATTTGGCTTTTGAATCCTTTGTGTTTCCACATAATCTTTAAATTAGCCTGTTAATGTGTATGAAAAAAACCCTGCTGGGATTTTAAAAAACTTTTTATTTAAATTCCAGTAGTTAACATACAGTGTCAATATTAGTTTCCGGTGAACAATATAGTGATTCATCACTTCCATACACCACAGGTGCTCAGCATGACAGGTGCACTCCTTCATCCCCATCACCTATTTCTCCCACCCCCCACTGCTGCCCTCCTCTCTGGTGACAGTGTGTTTCTCTGCAGTTAAGAGTCTGTTTCTTGGTTTGTCTGTTTTGTTTTGTTTTTCCATGTGCTTGTTTTCTTTCTTAAATTCTACATACGAGTGAAATCATATAATATTTGAATTTCTCTATTTCACTTAGCAAAATACTCTGCTGGGATTTCGACTGAGATTACCTTGACTCTATATGGCAGCTGGGCAGATTGTCAATATTGAGTCTGTGGATCCATGACCTTGTTATGAACTGAATTGTTCCTTCAAACCGCACGTTGCAGCTCTATGTCTCTGGTCTGGGATAGTTTCGCAGGCATGGCTTGCTTGTGATGACCTTGACAGTCTGGAGTCAGGAACTGTGTGGAATGTCTCTCAGTGTGCACTTGTCTGAGGTTTTCCTCATGGTTAGACGGGGGGACACAGAGCTACTCTCATCATATGGAAAGCGTACGCTTCCGTGGCTGATGCTGACTTCTGTTCCGCAGGAAGTAGGTCACCAAGCGCTGCCCACTTCTAACCACGGGGACATAGGGTGCAGCTCCTGAGGGGGAGTAGCTACAAAGTTGTTTATCACTTCTCTCTCAGTCACTGATATCAGTATGGACTCATGAACATTTTTTTGGATTTTAATCCAATACTAAATTATTTTCTTGCTCAAATTGCTCCAGCTTTGGCCAGTGGGAGCTCTTTCAGGGCGGCTTCTGTCCCTTTGACATTAAAAATACCTCAAAATTGTGGTAACAGATACCTAACATTTACCAACTTCACCACTTTCATGGGAACCATGCGGTAGTGTTAACTATATTCACAGTGGCAGAAAGACCTCTAGAACTCCACCTTGTAAAACTGAAGCCGTTCCCATTGAACAAGTCCCCCTTCCCCTCCCTGGGGCAGCTTTGGTTGCTGGATCCCTCCAGGGACCTCACAGACGTGGGATCTCGGAACACTCGTCTCCGTGCTTGCTTCATTCGGCACAATGGCCCCAAGGCGCATCCTTCTCCATAGACACTGAATGCTGGTCCACTGTGCGTATATGCTGGATACGGAGTAGCACCGCAGTTTAGCTGGGGCGCTGAATCTCTTCGAGACCTGGGCTTCAGTTCTTTGGGGCACACATCCAGGTTCCCAGAACATTTTTCCATTTTTGAGGAATGTCCATCCAGTTTTCCATAGTGGCCACATCTCACATTCTCAACAGTAGTGCACAGGCATTCCAATGATCCTGACTCACACTTGTTCTTTTTTTCTCCCCTCTAACTTTGTGGAGTTGAAATGCATTAATTGTAGCAGCCAGAGACACACCATGCCGTTCCCCTCCAGGAGACCCTGACACAGGAGCACAGCTGGTGGATGGCCTCCAGCCAGGGCACTTCTTCAGATCCTCTGAGGCATCTGCGCCGCTGCCCCCTGGCAGTGCCCGGCCACGGACCGACTAAGGTGGGCGGGCGAAGTTGGTCTTGTCTGCCCACCTCTGGACTCTTTCCATGGGGAAGCCAGGCCTGACCCAGACGTCCCCAGGTTGCCCTGCAGGCTGGGCTTTTTCTAATCAACCCTCCCTTCTTCCTCTTCTCTGTCCGCAGGAGCCTGCCCCCTCCCTTTATCCATCATTTGTTTCCCCCAAAAAACTTCTGCAGCTGATTTTGTCCTGGCATCTGCCTCTTTGACACAGGATTTTGGGAAGAAGTGAAATTAGATGGTTAGCTATGTCTTAATAACGAGGTCACTATGAAGTTTTGTGTTCTTTAGAGATTACACATTTCAGGTTTCATTCGACTATGGGAGAATAAATTACTTCTAATACATTTATTATCTGAGGGAAAATTTATTTATTGTTCTAATTTACTTAAACTTCAAATATTCCATCAAATTACCCAGGAAAATCCAGGTAGCAGAAATATTTAACACATACCTTCAAGACATCTCAAGCAAGTCTGAAAAGGCCACAGAATGATATATAAATCTGCCACTGAAATCACTTCCATGTTGTGCAAGTGCAGAAGTGAGCAGAGGTGCAGCCTGCCCTCCCCGTGGCTGCGCGGGAGCTGCGGGTTACGTGTAAGTATTATTGTGAGGCGCCAAGTCACCTGAGGAATCACCCCCATTCCAACTGTGAACCCAGAGCAGCAAAACATATGTGCCCCTGAAGGAAACATCTTCCGTGTGTGCAGGGGACAGGCATGTGGCGTGGGAAGGACTCCGTCACGTGGAATATGATGTTAGAATTCTGCTGTCATGGGTAATACAGAAACATACACAGTCTTCATGTTCAAAGTCTTCATGGGGATTTCTTCTGTAATTTCTAGGATGGAAAGAAGATTAAAAAAAAGTAAATGTTCTACCTATTCTGTATGAATATTTAAAAATTGTTGACTGCTTTTTTTTGGGGGGGGGGGTGTTGACTGCTTCTGTATAGGATCTGGCCTCACCCTAAGGGGTCTGGTCTTTGTCCCAGCTCCTGGGGGACCCTCTAGACTCTTGGGACTTCCTGAGTGATGGGAGTGTTTTGTTTATGGTGGGCCCTGAATACTCCTCCTAGCTTCTGCTAATGAGGGGACTCTGCGTGGAGCCAGCCACACCAGAAAGACCACCACAGGATTTAGGGTGGAAGCTTTCAGTCACGTGCTATCCCCCAACACAGTGCAGCTGCGTGGGCAATGAACGAACTGTGCCCATGTAATGAAGCCTCGCTGCAGACTCTGGACCCCCTCCAGGCTTGGGCAGCCTTCCCGTTTGGTAATACACTGTGTGCACCACTGTCACAGTGAGGGGCCGGGAGGAGGGAACACTGCCCATCACTCCTTGGGAAAGGGCCCCTGAAAGCCCCATGTCTGGACCCCAGATTTGGCCCTCTGTACCTTTCCCTATTAAAAACCCAAGTTCAATAGTTTCCAGCAAGTTCCATAAATCCTGCTGGTAAATTATCAAACCTGAGGGTGAACTTACAGTTGGCAGAAGTGACAGTGGTCTTGTGTGGCCTCTTCTCTGAGTTTGTCAAAGGCACCTAACTCCCTACAGTTTGGGTGAAGTGTTGGGCAGAACTTCTGGAGGAAAGCCCTCCAAACTAACAAGCCCTCCAAACTAACTAGCCCTGTGTGCTGACCCAGATGTCCACACACCCTGCCCCATACAGGTGTTTCCTAGGCCCACAGAGAACCTTCGAGGTCTCCAAATGTTAACTCCCTACAGCAGGAGGAATCACCGTGTAGGGTGTGGGGGAATGTAAGGACATGATAAGCCTATAACATCTTATGAGGCCAGAGCACAGAGTTACCAAAGACTGAAGGCTCGTGTCACAGAATATGGGAGCTGATACAATGACAAGAACTCTGAGCATCTAAAAGTATAAACCAAACGTAACTGATTAAAATATACTGAACAGACAGACGCCTGGGTGGCTCAGTTGGTAAACTGTCTGCCTTCGGTTCAGGTTGTGATCCCAGGGTCCTGGGACAGAGACCCCAGTCAGGCTCCCTGCTCACCGGGGAGCCTACTTCTCCCACTCCCTCTGACCCTCATGCTCACGCTATCCCTCTCTCTCAAATTAAAAAAAAAAAAATCTTCAAAACACACTAAATAGATAAAATCCCAAGAAGAGAGAAAGAGAGAGAGAGAGAGAGAGAGAGAGAGAGAGAGAGAGAGAGAGAGAAGAAAACCTTAAAATGCTCTTTGCCCCCTCGGTTTTTCTTCTAGCAGATCTGAATTCAAAGGGAAGGACCAGTGCTCATCCCAACATGAGAACTGGGTGTTATACACAACTAAGGAATCGTTAAATACTACAACACAAACCTATGATGTACTATATGCTGGCTAACTGAACATAATAAAAAACAAAACAAAATAAAACAAAACAACAAAAACAAAGGGAAGGACCTTCCATCGGCTCTCGTCCCAGCAGGAAAGCTGGACGTCACTCCTGAAGCTGCCTCCATGCAGGTACTACAGGCCTGGAGATAATACTGAGCAGCTTGTGAACAAGCGGGATCCTTCTAATTTACCGAATTAGTACCGTTTTACAAAAGACAACTTTGAGAGGAAGAGGGCAGAGACAATGGGTTAGAAAGAGCCCCAGGCTTCTCGGGGATCCGATCACTGAGGCTTTGAGGTCTCAGGGCACAGTGAGGTCACACTCGGAGCAAGGCCTGCTTTGTGAGTCACGGGCAGAATCTCACAAACGTGGTTCTGCCCTGGTCAGTGTCAGCCAGGTGCCAGCACACGCACAGAACCATAGACGACGGTGCCTCTTCACGTCCACGGCTCAGCTGCCCCTGGGGACCAGCGCATGTGGGGAATAAGGAAGCCGTGGGGACTCTGAGTGGGGACACCGTCAAGGGAGGAACGCACAGGAGACAATCTGGGGGTGGACAGGCTGCAGACAGGCCGCTTCAACAGAGGATAGAGCCCTAAGCCAGCAAGGGCGTGGACACAGGGAGCCCCTGAAAGCCACGTGGAGGCACAGAGGTATGTTTGGTTACAGAGAGGAACCCAGGTGCAACGGAGGCTTGAGTCTTAAATAACAGGGCAGAAAATTTTAAAGTGTAATAGAAAACATTAAAAAAAAAAAAAAAGGAACTACACAAGAGAAGAAAGTGAGGGAAACCTCTAAGCCAAAAATCATGAATCCCAAGAGATACCTGAACATTTTGGTTTTCTGGCACTAACCTTTAGTGCCAAAGCTTTAAGCCACTAAAAGCTTAAAGCTTTGGCACTAAAGGTTATCAAAGTGAGATAAGAAAAAACCTGGGGTCTACAGACTGGGAAATCCAGTGAACCGTCCTCCCCACAAATGCTGGGGCCCTGAATAAGGAACCCACAGCCAGAGTGCATTTCAAACAAATCCCTCACCACTGAGAAGACGGTCAAGAGAATGCAGTGGGTTTAAATCATGGCCTTCCAGAAGACATGCCCTGTTCTACTTCCCAGAAACTGGCCATGACCGCAGAGGCCAAGGCTGGGGTGATAGAGTCACAAGTCCAGGACGCCTGGAACCACCAGAAGTGGTAAGAGGCAAAGGCCAGATTTTGCCCTGGAGCCTCCAAAGAGAACGTGGCCTTGCTGACACCTGGCCTCTGGCCCCCAGAACTGAGAAGACACTTGTATGTCTCACGGCCCCGGCTTACACCCATCTGTCAGGCCAGCCTGGAGAACTGGTCTCACTCAGCCTTGCTGTGGGCCAAGGACAGACTGGACACAGCCTTATGAGGCTCTGGCCCTCGTGCTGTCCAAACACTCCCTGTGGCCCCAAGTAACTGAGGTGAAGTGGGCCTGGGCTGACAGTGTCCCCAAACAATGAAATGCTCCTTTACATGCAGCTTCAACAGAAACTCCACTAACTACTGTCGTCAGGATTCTAGAAACAATCAAAGGTTCACAGTAACCACACAAATGCCACATTCGAGAAGGCAACTTGTAGGGGGTAGAAAGATCTGTGGTTGTCCCACTTGTGCTTGGCTGCCCGACCCTCCCAGCCTGAGGACCCCATGGTCCCAGGAGGACGGAGCAAAGGCACCGTGTGTGTCCTAACGCGACTGGGGCCCCCTCAAGGGGGCTCACAAAGGGCGCTTATCTCCATTCACCTAACCTGGAACCTGCCCAGGTAGGAAAAGTGCAGGCATCGCTGGGAAACAGAGTCAGGCAAACAAAAGCCCACAGCTGCCGGGGGCGCAAGGCTGCGGATGCAGCATGTGACAGCATGTAACAGAGGGCCTACAGTCTGGGGGCAAAGTCGAAGACGGCATGGTTCAGAAAGCCGCGTGTGTGTCCAGGGCAGAGTGCACACGCAGAACAGTCCTGGGAAGACCCCAGGCTTTCAACTCTGAAAAAAATAAGAACTTTTGTGGCCAAATCCGGCTGATGAGGGAGTGAAGGCCGAGCTGAGGAGCAGTGAAGACACTGCAAATGAACAAAAGCACAGGGCACCCGGCACCACTGGAGGGCCTCAGGCTGGGACGCAAGGACACCGATGGTAACTGCCACGTGCTGCCCCATGTCTGCTTTATAACTCTGCTTTCTGTTTTCTAAATGATTTAAAAGACAAATACATAAGACACAGTTAAAAATTTATGTTTTGGGGGCATACAAAGCAGTTTCTGACAAGAATACAAACGGGCAGGGTTTTCGTAACTCAAGTCAGATTGGTATTGATTCAAACCAGACTGCTGTTAATCTAGAACGTTAACTGTAATCCCCACAGTAAACACTAAGAAAATAGCAAGAGGGGCGCCTGGGTGGCTCACTGGATTAAAGCCTCTGCCTTTGGCTCAGGTCATGATCTCAGGGTCCTGGGATCGAGCCCCACGTCGGGTTCTCTGCTCAGCGGGGAGCCTGCTTCCTCCTCTCTCTCTGCCTGCCTCTCTGCCTACTTGTGATCTGTCAAATAAATAAATAAATAAAAATCTTAAAAAAAAATAGCAAAAGAGAAATACACAAAAGGAAGTGTGGAGTGAACTGAAGACAGTGTGCTTAAAAAAAAAAGAAAAAATCAACTGGACCCCCAAGGAGGCAATTTTGGAGGACATGAGGGAGAAAACAAATATAAGACTTCTAGAACAAGAATCCCAGCAAAATGGCACAAGTCCTTCCTGATTAGTAAATACTTTAAAAACAAACAAACAAACAAACAAAGAAACAAACAAACCCCCCAAAAAACAGGGCCTAACTGGCCTGGAGGAAGGGACATAACCTGGTCCAGCCCTGCCAGGCCCTCTCCTACTGGAGGAAGAAACAGAGAAGCTGGGGTCATGGCCCAGGGACACAGGGTCCCCAGAGACTGAGCACTAATCACAGAACTATAGAACGAGTCCCATCCCCTGTGGGCTTCTGCAGGACAATGGGGTTAGAGCCGGATGAGACAGAAGTACGGACACTTCTGATGCCAGACGACCAGCCAGCCTCACCCCAACTTTTCCCCTCAGGTCACGTGTCCCAGTCCTCATATCAGGCTGTCAACAAAAAGCTACAAGGCATTCTGAAAGGCAACAGCAGCACTGTAGGAGAGACACAGAGATCCTCAGACCAGACACAGATGCAGCACAGCGGTGGGGATTAATCTAGTACTAGAGTTCATATGCCAAGGCTGTAGCAGGTGATGGAGAAGCACTGGGGACGGACCAGTGGCATGGGCACGGAGGTGGGTGCTCTGAGAAAGACTGAAGAAGCCCTTTCACCAAAACACGTACACCTGGGAGGAGCACAATCAAACTGCAGAGAACCAAGGACAAGACAACTCTGGGCACTTGTCCCCCAGCACAGAGAGCCCGCCAGAGCGTCCAGCTGACCCAGGCTGCAAGGCTAAATGAATAAACGGTCTGAGTTACAGTAACTGGAGTGATGACCACACAAACAGAAGCCTTTTGGGGAAAGGGCTCCAGCAGCAGACAGGTGACAGGTGACAAGGATAAAGAAGAGAATGGGGCCAGTGATGGGACCCTGAGACCAGAGTGGATTTGGGGCAAGGTGCCACCGGCCTTGCTGGGGCCACTGCCATCTCCTTCCCGAGTGACAGGCCTGGGCTCTCCAATCTTCGGGGCTCGCTGAGAAAGCGCCTGCAAGTATGCTCTGTCCACGCTAGCGGAGGGGGCACCACACCATTACAAGCTTCCCCAAGGATCGGAACACTGTTCCGATCCTTGGGGAAGAGAGTGATCTTAGAATTGGCAAATAGATGCTAATTTATCTAGAAGCTTTTTTTTTTTTTTGAAGCATGTGTTTTTAATAACTTACCAATATATTCTAGCATTATTTTCAGTGCAAAAAGCAATCATTCTTTTAATTATTATTTTAACAATCTAATATGGCAAATTTCTAGAAAAGAGCAAAAACACAACCAGCAAGGAAGTGCAGCTGTAGCACGTGCTGTCATCTTACCGTGTGTCTGAGTCTCATTCAGAAACAGCTTGAGCTTCCTGCTGCGAAGACCAAACACCTTGGCTGCCTCATACAGAAGGCCCTGGTGGGTGAGTCCGTTCTGCCCGGGGGGGTTTTCCAGAAGGAGTGTGCCCACTGTTCCCTTTACACACTCTGTAGAAGAAACCACCACTGGGTCGGGTCCTGAGAGCACAGCCCCCTCACCAACCCTGTCCCTCTGCCGGCCCCTTTGCAGAGGAGAGGCTCCAAGAACCAGCAGGGCCTGGGGGCCTGGTGTCCAGACTGCAGAGGGGAAGGGGCAGGGACAATGGAAATCCCAATGGGTATAAACCCCCTCAGCTGGGGAAGAGGTATTCCATAAACACATGCTGTGCACAGTGAGGGCCCAAGATATCCAGGAAAAATAAATAGCCAGCTAGTCTGCTGACTGAGGTATGGAGGTGTACAAAGATTTCAGAACACTTTCCAGGAAAAAGAAAAAAGGCAAAAAACAAAAAAAGCGACGGCACTTAATTCCACTTCATTTAGCGGTAATGTTTACATGTCAGGGTACCCCACCTCCTGACTGCCAGGTGGAGGGTGTTTCCACACAAACACACAAGAGAAGCCAGCCTGTGTGCTGCCCAGGGCAGATCGGAGCGCACACCTTAATGCACCACGTGCAAGGCAGGCCGTGAACGGAAACCCAGCTGCCAGCCCCTCACCCCCGCAGGCGCAGGGCTGGCAGTTGGGGGACGCGCACCTTGTGGGCCTGCGTTCAGGAGCTGCAGGTTGATGTAGCGGCAGAGTGCAGTGCTGGGGCCGTCCACCACAGCGGGGGCAGACCCCGCTGCCACACGAAGGGTTTTCCCACTGAGACTCAGTAAGTCAGTCTGGTTTCGTATTTCTAGAAGTAACAACAAAAACAGCAACAACAAATCACTCGTTCAGGATAAATAGTGCAGAGCTGAAGTCATTCACTCGATCCTACTTAATTATTAAACTATCCTTTATCTTTGCAGTAATGTTTCCACTTAATTTCTTTTACCAAAGGACATGGCCTTCTCTATAAAATGAGGCTTAAATGACATGCAAATAGCAGGAGATGTGAACACTGCAAAACGAACCACATAATAGTAATAACAAAAACATATAGCAAATTGTTTTTTTTCTCCTTTTAGTACTTAGTATTTTTGCAGATCCTTGTAAAATCTCCTACATCAGAATACTAAACTTCACTGTGAAAGGAAGCCTTATATTAAAACATGATAATTATAGTCAGAAGAAAACAGATCATTTGACTCATGAACACATGTGAAAAACAGCAAGACACAGGGGACACATGCAGATCTCCTTGATCTACAACTGAACACTGCTTAGAGTCGCAAACACGGCTGGGGCAGGTCCCGGAGGAATAGGGGCTGTAGGACCTCCACACCTGTGGCTTCCCGGAACTCCTGTGGGCTGCGTCACAGAGGGTGATGGCATCTGACACCACGAGCCTGCCCTAGTCTCTGCCCATCTGTCGTGGCCCAGCAGCTCGCCTGTGTTTGTTGGCCAATTACATCTCCTCTTTTAGGCTATTTACAATTTCCTGAAAATGAGCATCCAGATTCTTATCAAAGCGAGTGTACTTGTCTCACGTGGCTGCCATTAAGAATCATAAACATGGGGCTTACAGCAAACAGAAATCTACCGGCTCCAATTTGGGAGGTGAGGTGTCAAAATCAAGGTCCTCCGTAGGCCCTGCTCCCTGAGAAGCCTGCAGGCAGCTCTCCCTGTTCTCCTTCTAGCTCCTGGAGGCTCCCAGCCATCTGCTTGAAGTTCCCCCGTTCCAGCCCTGCCTTTGTCATCACATGGCCATGTCCCTGTGTGCTCCTGGGGACACCCTTATTATCTAATCACACTGGCAATGACCCTGTCTCCAAAGGTCACATTTGGTAGTATGCAGGGGAAGGACTTCAACATGTCTCTCTCTTAACTTAGGCTTGTCTTACTGAGAATCTTGTCTAGCAAGACACAGGCACTATGCTTACTAAAGTCAAAGCACAGCATGGAGTCTCTAAGGCCTGGTCCCCAGCCTGAGGCTAACGGAGTGGACAGGGTGCAAGGCTCCATCTCCGGAGGGGCACAGAGATGTTGTTCATCTGGGCAGGAATGAGGGTAGGTTCACAATGTCAGATGCTGTCACCATCCCAGCAGGGGCCCAGAGGTACAGGGCCAGGGCTGCCAAGGGCCTGGCCAACCCAGCCTCGTAAGGAAGGCACGGCTGTGGAGCAGAACCAGTACCAAATGACCCCCCTCGAGTCAGAGGACAGCTCCCGACTTTCTACATACCTGCGGCACCATGGAGGACAGCCAGGTCGCTATCTTTCACACCAAAAATACTAGTAATAACATTCTTCAGCTTTAAAAGGTCCAACCTGTTATCGCCTTTTGGATTTTCCAGAAGTAATACTCCACCTAAAGAACCACAAATGTAAGTCAAACTAAAGGAAAAAGATGTTAAATTTGAAAGAAAAATCCAGGAAAACACACCACCTGTATGTTCCCTCTGGTCAACACCTGCTCATGTCTTTCTCCCACTGTCTACCTGGATCTTTTTAAATTAGAAGTGGGGAGAGTTCTTCGTGTTCTCTGGACACACCTGGGGGGAGAAATGGTTTGCAAGGGCCACTGCTTGCCTTGAAGCTCAGGCTTTCATCCTTTCCACAGGATCTTTCACAAAGCAGAAATAAATAATTCGTCAGACAACATTTTCTCTACGATTTCAATCCCTAAATATGTTGATGAGTTTCATGGCCTAGCCTACAATCCAGCTTGGTAAATGTCCTGTGGGAGCTTGAACAGAATGGGCGTTCTGCTGCTGCTGGGTGAGCTGTTCCATTAATGTTGATTTGACTCTGGTTTTCTGTCTAGCTCTTCTACTGATCGTTGAAAGAGGTATATATTCAATTTTTTTTTTTAAAGATTTTATTTATTTATTTGACAGAGAGAGATCACAAGTAGATGGAGAGGCAGGCAGAGAGAGGGAAGCAGGATCTCTGCCGAGCAGAGAACCCGATGCGGGACTCGATCCCAGGACCCTGAGATCATGACCTGAGCTGAAGGCAGCGGCTTAACCCACTGAGCCACCCAGGCGCCCTATATTCAATTTTCAAACTGAAACTGAATTTTCTCATTCTCCTTTAAGGCGTCAGCTCTCTTTTGTGGTTTGCAGCTCTGCTGAAAGCGTAATGATCCCACATCTGGAATTCCAAATGTGGGATCATTATGCTTTCCCTGTGGATTGACATTTGTAGCATTATTTAACATCACTAGTGACTTTCCTTGCTATGAAGGATGCTTTACAGAAATGAACATAAACATTTTTTTAAAAAGATTATTTATTTATTTATTTGACAGAGAGAGAGAGAGATCACAAGGAGGCAGAGAGGCAGGCAGAGAGAGAGAGGAGGAAGCAGGCTCCCCGCCAAGCAGAGAGCCCGATGCGGGGCTCGATCCCAGGACCCTGGGATCATGACCCGAGCCGAAGGCAGAGGCTTTAACCCACTGAGCCACCCAGGTGCCCCGAAACATTCTTGCTTTGTGTAATTTTTAAAAAAGATTTTATTAATTCATTTTATTCATATTCATTCCTCCTACTGAACAAGGAGATCGATGCGGGGCTCGATCCTAGAACCCTAGGATCCCGGCAGACGCTTAACTGACTGAGTGACCCAGGAGCCCCAATTATTATTATTTTTTAAAAGTACTCTTTATGCCCAAGGTGGAACTTGAACTCACGACCCAGAGACCAAGAGTTACATGCTCCCTCTTGGGGCACCTGGGTGGCTCAGTTGTTAAGCGTCTGCCTTCGACTCAGGTCATGATCCCAGGGTCCTGGGATTGAGCCCCGAATCAAGGCTCCCTGCTCAGCAGGAAGCCTGCTTCTCCCTCTCCTACTCCTAGCCCCTCCCCCATTTAGTGTAATTACCGATGGTAAGCTTAAGCTTTCCGTCTTATTTGCTGCTTCCACTTGTTCGGTTTTCTTTCTCTAAGCTTCCTGTGGGTTATATGAATATATTTTACAACTCCATTTTTATTTCTATAGTGTTTTTGTGTGACTCTCCAGGAACAGGCTGGTTTAGTGGTTGTACCCGGTGGTACTGCATATGCACATTAACACCCAGCCTACTGATGTTGGCATTTGACCAGTTTGAGGGAAGCACAGAAACGTGATCTCCCTTCCATCACTTTGCTTTTCCCTACTGTTAATTTTCTTAAATATTTCTTGTATAGGGACGCCTGGATGGCTCAGTTGGTTAAGCCGCTGCCTTCGGCTCGGGTCATGATTCCAGTGTCCTGGGATGGAGTCCCACATCAGGCTCCTTGCTCGGCGGGGAGCCTGCTTCTCTCTCTGCCTCTGCCTGCTTGTGTACTCTCTCTCTCTGACAAATAAATAAATAAATAAAATCTTTAAAAATATATATGTATTTCTTGTATACACACTGAAATGTTATATAGGTTTTATTACAAACATCAAATAATTTAGAAAATTCAAGTAAGAAAGTCTGAATTTACCTATATTTTGACTCTTTCTACTGTTGTTTCTTCTGTCCTGATGTCCCTACATTTCTTCTTCTGTCATTTTCTTTGTTTTATGAGTTTCCTCTACCTACTTCTTTTTAGCTTAAGTCATGCTAGCAACTAACTCTCTTGGTCTCCCTTCACTTGGGGATGTCTTGATTTTCCCTCCACCATGAAAGATATTTTGCTTGATATAGAATTTTGGGTAGATAGCACTCCTAACATTCTGCCATCTGGCCTCCGAGGTTTTTGATGAGAAATCCAATACTGTTCCAATAGTTTTCCCCTGTAAGTTAGGCGAGCATATTCTCTCGCTGCTTTCAGGATGTTTTCTTTGCCTTCAGCTTTCACAAGTTTGACTACATGATGTCTCCATGTAAATTTTTCATCGGTTTCTCTCAGCTTCTTGAATCTGTAGGTGTACATGTATTGCCAAGTTTAGAAATTCTCAGTCATTATTTCTCTCAGTCCTGTCGTTCCTTCTTATTCTATCAGAATTCAGTAACAGAATATTCAACTTCTGTTAATATCCCACAAATCCTTAAGACTCTGTTCATTTTTTTTCTGATTTATAAAAACTCTCTTTTGTTCAGAATGGGCAATTTCTATTGTTCTATCTTCCAGTTCACAGATTCTTTCCTGTCCCTTCTGTTCTGTCATTGTGCCCATCCACTGGGTTTTGTATCCTAGTCTTACATTTATCAGTTTTAAAGATTTCATTTGATGCTTAATACACACTTCTTAGCCGAGGCTTCCTATTTTTACTTGTTTCCTTTGTATTTGTAATTGCTCCGTGGAACATTTTTTATTACGGCTGCTTTATGTTCTTTCAGATTATTTTATTTTTTTAAGTATGCTCCATGCTGGGGAGCCAAATGTGGGGCTTGAATTCATAATCGTGAGATCAAGACCTGACCTGCCGAGGTAGGATGAAAGTCCCAGCTCACTGTGAGCTTCTCAAACACCACGAAGTGGAAGAGGCCTGAGGCTCCTGACAAAGGTCTAGGCTCCCCACTTGGTCTTTGCTGGTGGGAGTGGTAGTAGGGCCAGTTTCTTCTGTTGTATGTGGCTAGACTAGAGCAGATATTGTCTAGAAGTTTTCTATCTTGCTAGGCTGCACCTCTCCTCGTTTTCTAGCTAGAGAGAGCAGGATTTTATTGGAGCATTTTTGTTTGCGCTAGGCATTTCCAGGTTGCCGGCTTCTTCAGCTCCAAGACTGGGATGTATGAGGCAAAAAGAAAAGCCAGCCCTCTTCCCTCCCCCTTTAGGAGTCTTCTGACATTTGCTTTTATATATCACAACCAGGGTGTTTGGTTGTACTTTGTGGGAAGAGCAGGGAAAAGCATGTCTATCTCTTCTTCCTGGAAGTGCAACTCCAACCCTTTACTTTTGTGGATTCATTTTGATGGCAATTAGAAAGAGGAAGTCATACGATTTCACTAATTTTCTTACAATAGCCTTAAAGACATTCATAGGTTTAAGTAAAAAGTAAAGTTCAACCCACGGGACTCATTTACTCTTACCTTGCTCACTGCCATTTGTACAAATGTTAAGATTGACATATGCACAAGCAGGACCAGGCAGGGATGATCCTCTGGTGATTGTAATTTCCAGGTCAGAACCCTTTAACTGAGCACATGAGAGTTTGCGACTGAGTAACTGCAGCACTGACCACGTCACCAACTAACCCTGCAGCTACTTCCCACACTGAGAGCTCTGTACGATTCTGAGCGCGTAAGCAACCTCATCACTAAAACAGTCAAAAGTTGTGACTTTTCACCTTGTTCTCCTAAATGCAGAACAGAAATGAAACCATCTTGTAATATGCCCCACTGAAAAGACAAACAGTGACATCTAGCCCCTGCCTGTCTATACCATCTGTCTCCTCCTACAGAAAGGAGGAATGAGACAAGGAAGACATGGCAGAGTCATCAACTGAATCAATTCCTTCCCCTATTATAAAGGACCTATTTCTGAATTATGGCCAATATCTTCCGTATCTTGGAATCAGATTTTCATAGTTCTATCTAAAAAGTGCCAATAGGAAATGAAACTGTAATTTTATGTAAAACTGACTACTGTAAATTCAACTGCTCTTCAAGTCAACTGTTATTTGCCTTGAACAGTCACAGAATCCACAATATTAACTTCCCTAGTTTTAGGAAAAGCAAGCCCATATAGCCCCTGTTTTCCTGGCAACCCTCATGCACCTCCTGGCTACCTTCCCTGCCTTCCCTCTCTCTCCTCTCTGGACACTGAACCCACCCTGTATTTTAGGACTGAGAATTATGCTAGTTGCTACTGGGGATAGAACATCAAGAGATTACTCCACAAACAACATAAAATCTAACCTTACATCTCTTCACAGTTCAACAAACCCAGAACTCACCTGTGTTTCTTCTTGAATAAGGACTTTATCTGACGTTGGAACTGGATACGGTTTCAAGGGAGCCTTTATGGTGGCAAATATGAACTCTGTGTGGCCTTCGATAACATTATTCAAATACTTCCCTTCAGATTTTGCTTTATAATAAACTGTTATTTCATCAGTTGGAACCAGATTGCACTGAAAGCACACAGAGAAAATTTAAAAGGGAAGCACATTTGTTAGTCAAAACATATGGTGTTGTTGAACAGAGCTGACAGTCCTGTGCTGAATCATTATGGGAGCAAACAGGCTCCTGCCCAATCCTATGAAACAAAGGACTGTGTAGAAACCCACTCACAAAACTCTGAACTGAGGCAGAGCTCCCAAGTATCCCATTAACCTGTTGACGTGGACTCCTGAGACCCAGAACTACAGGTCTTAGACACCTGGCCTGAGGAGGGGAGGTGGGAGCCCCTGTTCTGGTCAGGGCGAGGGATCCTCTCAGGGTCGAGGTGGGAGACCCTCTTTGGATGGGGAAGTCCCTCCTCAGGGTTGAGGGGTGGGAGCTCCTGGCTCCCAGCTCCCCAGTAAGGAAGAGCCACCCCTCTGTCCAGATCTAATAATGTCTCCTTGAGCTAGATGCCCTTCCTCAGACACCCACTGTCCTTTCTGATGACCTGTGCCAGTAAGGAGGGCTACCTATCCAGATGATCCTGTGGAAACCATAGGGAACTGAAAAAGGTAGACAAGGGGCACAGCTTTGCTGAAAACTCCTGCTCAGAGAAACACAACAGCCATGTCCAGCTCAGGGTGAAAGAGTAGGGAGTGGAGGGGCCTATTTTTCCCACAAGCACAACTGAACAGACCATAAATGAGTGACTAATTATCATTACTCAATTACAATGATTTATATTATCTGCCTTTCCTGTTCTACCCAACAACCAAAAAACCAAACAACAACAACAAAAAACCCAGACAAGCTTGTTCTTGATGTGACAAACTGACCTTTTTGCGAAGTTTCTGGATGCGATTGATGACCTCCCGAGCCACTCCTTCATCCACCATTGACTGGTCGGGAGTGACATCTAAGAGAACCAAAACCTGCCGGAAAGAACAGTGCACTGTGCGACAACCAAACAAGGAGGAATGATTCTCTCAAACTCAGCACACTGTTTTTAAGTTAAATTCTGAGAAGTCTGTCATGTGGCGCTATTTATTCATCTAACTGAGCAAAGGAGATAAAATTAAACTAGTTTCGCTACAGTTCAGGTGCTTGCAAGGAGCTATTCCTTCCGCGGGGATGGGTCCAGTGACTCCTTCCCTTCCGCGGGTGCCGCTCACAGGAGATGGAGGAGCGGTGTCTCCCGTGTAACTGTTCCTTGTCTGTGTGAAAAGCAGTCACTGCCCTTGCAGGAAGTGGAGTCAGGGCTGCAGGGCCCTTCACACTGCCAATGAGCCCACGAAGGCCCCAAAACAGCCCCTGTTGTTTTCTTCAGCCAGGAGACTTTCCGGCCTTTGGTCTGTCAGTCTGATTCAACACACGGTTTCTCAGGGAACCACAACACATTTATTATGATTTAAACGGTCATCTTCGTGCTGACTTCATCTACTTCCTATGCCATCTGTAGTGAAGGCTGTCAATGATGACGTAAAGAAAAGAGTGTCACCACCGGCACAGACACAGTGAGGACTGGTGTCACTGCTAACACAGAGGGAGATACGCTTGTAATTCAAGCACTAGCTGCATGGACGTTTGTTTCTTTTTTTCTTTCTTTTTAAAGATTTTATTTGTCAGAGAGAGAGAGAGAGAGAGAGAGAGAGAATGCACAAGTAGGGGGAGGGTCTGAGGAACAGGGAGAAGCAGGCTCCACATTGAGCAGGGAGCCCAATGTGGGGCTGGATCTCAGAACCCTGAGATCATGACCTGAGCTAAAGGCAGACTCTTCACTGACTGAGCCACCCAGGTGTCCCAGCATGGACTTTTTTTTTTTTTTTTAGATTTTATTTATTTATTTGACAGAGAGAGATCACAAGTAGGCAGAGCAGCAGGCAGAGAGGCGGGGCGGGGCGGGGGAGCAGACTCCCTGCTGAGCAGAGAGTTGGATGCGGGGTTCGATCCCAGGACCCTGAGATCATGACCTGGGCTGAAGGCAGAGGCTTAACCCACCGAGCCACCCAGGCGTCCCAGCAGCATGGACGTTTCTGATGAAACTTTATCAGAAAGATGAACAATTTACACTACTTCATGAGAGCAGAACTGGACATGGGTGGCAGGGCAGGGCCACCCCAGCCCACAGTATATGAACTGTGTCATTAATCTCAGAAAATGAGGACACTTCCTTCAGTGCCATCCTCAGGCTGGCCGCCATCAGGGTGTTTACACACTCTCTCACCCTCCTTTCCCAGCTTCTTCACAGGTGGCTCCTCATGCCGTCTGGCCATATGGAGCTCAGCCTATGTCTCATTCAAGCCGAGGAATTGGTCTTCCTCACATGGAACTTCCACAAGTCCCCCACTCCCACCCTAGAGATCTTATGATCTGTCTGCCCAGAAAAGTCTGGTCAAGAGCAAAGAGAGACGCTCTGATCCATCACGACAAAAAGCACTGACCTCAGAATCCAATACCGCTGCACATCCCCCTCCAGGATGTCCGTTCCCTGCCTGCCTCCACACCAGGCTTTGGAAAGGAACCCCTCTCTGTGCTCATTCCTAGCAGATAACTTATCAGGCAGAGGGGTAAGAATTAGCTTACTTTTCTGTCTCTATGACTGGGTCATTCCTTGAAGGGTGGGGTTATATCTTAATCATTTTGGTAGGACCCAACACTCAAGACAATTGCAAGCAGAGGTCATAAAATGTCAATTTCATATATGCTAAAGAAACGCGCATGTCGGGGCACCTGGGTGACTCAGTAGGTTAAAAGCCTGCCTTTGGCTCAGTCACGATCCCAGGGTCCTGGGATCGAGTCCCGCATCAGGCTCCCCACTCGGTGAGAAGTCTACTTCTCCCTCTACCCCTCCCCGCCCCACCCCCGCTCATGTTTTCTCTCTAATAAAGATTAAAAAAAAAAAAAAAAAGGTGCACATGTTAAGAGCATACAATGGAGCAATTTAATAAAGCCAATCTAAAATGGATACCTGGTTTACTGTACTCTGAGGCCAGCTCAGGAAACCAGCTGGTCAGGTGACCAGCTGAGCTCAACACTCAGGAAGGCAAAAGCAAATACTTTTTCTTCTTATGTTATCTTTTGGTAAAGAAACGTTCCAGGGAAGAGCAACATACCTGGGCATCTGAGTGTGCTTCATACTGCATTGTCCCTCCTGTTGTCTGATCAAACGTGTACATGAGGCGGATGTCCTCTTCATGCAGCTCATGGCCTTCTACGACAATGGTCCCTGCCGGAGAAGCAACTGCCACTGTGAGTCAGCCCCCCAGCATCCTCCTCCACATACCGCCCAGCGACAGCACATTATGCCGGTTTTTAATAAAAACTTCACAGCATCAGGCTGTGGAGACTTCAGAGATCATGTCCTCTCAACTCATATCCCTTACACCTCCCCACGCTGCCCCGAGGACAGTTAAATTGCAGCTAATGCCCACCGGGTCAGTCAGTCCCCAGGCCCAAAGGCCTGTGCCAGGAGGCGACGTATCCCCACCATAAACACAGAGCGCATGATGTACTAAAGAGAGCAGGCTGCAGAGTCCAGGGGGACCCAGGCCCAACACTTACTGAATGCAGGACCCCAGTGCTCCACTCTCTGCTGAGCAGGGTGGTGCGGGAATGAAGTGAACAGGGTGGTCAAGGTCTGGGTGCCGTCCTCCCACAGCAGGCAGAGCGCATACGGCGGTGCCCGCTTTCAGGGAAGCCTGCTGCGGTCGCCCACAATGATTTTCCGGGTATCTGAGCACTGGGCTGTCATTCTGACTATGTCACTCTGTTCCAAAAACTGTTTTGCTTTCCAAAAGTGCAGAAATCCACTCAGAAAGTAGTTTTGAAGCTACAGGCCTTGGTTTCAAACCAGGATTATTTCAAGAATTTTTAAGTATTTGGGCTATCCGTTGAAACGCTTAGATTTGTGATCTGAAGTTGCATCAAAGATTTTGTTAATCTAACAAATCAAGTTAAGTTAGTAATGACTCAACTTTTAATTGCCAGGTTTCTTACATTTCATCTAAAAATGTGAGGACCTGGAGGGACATTTCTCTCAATTCCCTATAAGCAGTCATCTGATCTCTGAGTTCTTTTCTCCCTCCTCGTGACTCCTCTGTGCTTATGATTTTCACCTTCACAGGGAACCCTAATAACCAAACACCTTGTACCCCAAGGTTAAGCAGTCATACCAAGACCCGAAGGATTCTACTCGTGACAGAGCTGAGAATTCCCGGGTACCTGGAAAGTCCCCTGAAGGAGAGGAAGGAGGGGCTAAGTCCCCTTTCCTAACTTCCTCCTATTGTCCTAGCTTTTCCTTTAGAACACTTATCGAAACTACGATTGTTTCCACAAATCTTCACTGTTGGCCAGCACCATGAGGGTAAGGACAACTGTCTCACTCTTTTCTGGGTTCCCAGGGCCAGCCAAACACAAGAGCTTTAAAAAGTATTTGCTGAATTAGTCCAAAATCCAGTCTTGCCCAAATAAGGGACCAAACTACGAATTCTTGATGTCTCAGACCATGGTAAGTTCTGATCTAGTTCTCCCTCGAAGCAGGTCCAGACCTCATTGCTAAATCCCTGTTTCAAAACCTGCTTTAATCTTTTCTGTCGAAATGTACTGTAGTCTTCATTCAGACGCCTCCAAACACCATCATGCTTTTTCTCACAAGCAACATCCAATAACAGTGAACCTGATACTGGGGGTCTTGCGTGCTCTCTCACTAGGGTAGTTTCTAAGCTCCTATTAGCATGTGCAGAACTCCGCGCTATCAGTCATTCTACCTGGAAATCTAGCCCAAAGGAATCAACTGCACAGAACACGTACATGTGAAAATGCTCACTGCAGAACTACCAGCAACAGCAGAAGAACGGAAACAGTCTGAAGAGCCAGCAACAGGATGGGCAGCCCCCAAAGAAAAACCATACAATGGTCTGGAAATAGCACTTTACAGACTAATGACTTAAGTAAAGTAAAAATGCAAAATAAAAAGGTGAATAAAATAAACATAAAATGTAAAAATGTAGGTGTGAAAAACACGACATTTGTAACTACAGTGTGATCTCCACGCTGGGAGCCTGTGCTTTTGGGCCCGTCTGTGTCGGGATGTCTGTGCTGGGACTTCTGTGCCATGTGGACCAGCACGGAGCAGGCAATCAGTCTGCAGTCGATGGACAGGTGATGGTTTGGGGATCATCTCCTTCCATTATCCGAATTACTTGTTATGCAGCTCAGTGACAGTGCAAGTGAAGGAGCCCAGGTGGAAGGTGGCGCCAGGAAGGGGCAGACACCCACCGCTCTCCTGGAAGCGCTCCAGTTCCTCGCTGCTCAGCTGCTTGATGGCCGTCATCACCGCTGGGAAGGCTCCCTTCAGCCGCTTCCCCAGGATCATGTGATCAGGCTCTGCCCTTAGGTGAATGCCATACTTGTTTTTATCTGTAGACAGCGTAACCTTTCGGACGTTCAATTCCTATATAGTTGGCAGCCAAGATGAAAAAGAAAGACGGAAATGAAAACATGTGATTCCAAAAACTTGCACACAAACGTTCAAGCAACATTGGTCACAACAGCCAAAAAGTGGAAGCACCCCAACGTCCATCAGCTGGGAAAGGATAAACAAAATGTGATCCATCCACTCAACAGACTACTACTTAGCGCAACAAAGGACTGAGGCAGGGACACAGGCTGTACCACGAATTGGACCCTGGTGCCAAGTGAAGGAAGTCAGCCTCAAAACACCACTTGCTGTCGGGTCCACTCACATGAACCACCCAGAACAGCCACACCCAGGGACAGAAACTTACACCATGGTTGCCAGGGGGTGAAGGGATCTCAAGGGCAAAAAAGGCGTGTGAACGCTAATGTGAATGCTAAACACTGGGTTTCTTTTTGGGGTGATCAAGATGTTACAAAATTTTAATGGGTGTACAATTCTATACATAACTTAAGAATCTTTCTTGTCCAGATCATTCAAGACAGCTGAGCAAACTAAATCAACTAAAGAAGATTCTAGACTTAGAGGGGGACTTGTGTGGTGCAGCTGGGTAAGTGTCTGACTCTTAGTTTAGGCTCAGGTCATGATTTCAGGGTTGTGGGATCCACACTCAGTGTGGAGTCTTCTTAAGACTCTCTCCCACTGTCTCTCTCCCACCCTCTAAATAAAATGTTAAAAAAAAAAAAAAAAGAAGAAACACTGTCAGGTGAAAAAACACAAGTTGAAGACTATAAACATGGTCCTCTCTAGCGCAAAGCCAATGGCGTGTGCATGTGTACATGCGTACATGCGTGTGTGAGGGTGCACACGGCCCTCCCACAGCCCAGTGGGGACGTCCCAGTGAACATCCCGAGGCACCGCTGGATGGGCGGGAAGGGACTCAGCCAGCACCTGTGCTAGAGCTGGAGCTGCTCACGCCCAGTGCATGCCCACTTGTTACTTGACGATTTGAAGGAAGAGTTTTTTGGTTAGTCATCAAAGAGTATTTGGAGAAGTAGATAAAAGTAGTGAGTGATCCAATCAAGGTAAAGAAATCCACTGATCTTAGAATCGCTTTAAAAAAAAAAAAAAAAAATTTTTTTTTTTTTTTAGAATTGTTCCTAAAGAATTACGACGACATTTTATTAAAGATTTTATTTATTTATTTGGCAGACAAAGATCAGAAGTAGGCAGAGAGGCAGGCAGAGAGAGAGGAGGAAGCAGGCTCCCCGCTGAGCAGAGAGCCCGATGCGGGGCTCGATCCCAACACCCTGGGATCATGACCTGAGCCGAAGGCAGCGGCTTAACCCACTGAGCCACCCAGGCGCCCCTACAATGACATTTTAAAAAGGCAAAAGCACACGCTGATTCTAAGCAAAGTGCAAGATTCCGTGGACAGTTAAGTATCTGTATGTGCTGACACACAAAAGGAAAAGGATGCATGAAAGTGAGCTTTCAAAGGATACATACATCAAAATGAACTTCACCTGGGCGCCTGGGTGGCTCAGTGGGTTAAGCCGCTGCCTTCGGCTCAGGTCATGATCTCAGGGTCCTGGGATCGAGTCCCGCATCGGGCTCTCTGCTCAGCAGGGAGCCTGCTTCCCTTCCTCTCTCTCTGCCTGCCTCTCTGCCTACTTGTGATCTCTGTCTGTCAAATAAATAAATAAAATCTTAAAAAAAAAAAAAAAAAGAACTTCACTAACAGTACTAGTCCTAACAATCTTCTCAAAGAAAGAAATCTATTTGGACCCAAAAAGTCAAACCCGTACTCTTACCTCAATGATATACTTCTCCAAAGACTTGATCTCACGAAGAGCTTCTGGATCCCGATGGATAACCACAATTTCTTTCAAAGGATACTAGGAGGAAAGGGAAGGGACAGTTTACCAAACAGCCAGCCCTTCAAACTGCAGGAAAGTAAAATGTTAAATGTTTTATCCGAATCTCAAGCTCCAGACTGACCAGGTTTAAATAGCACTAAGTCTTTCACACCCTTATTGCAGAAAAGAAAAAAAATTATGCCCCTGCTGGAAGTGCTCTCTTTTAAGAAAATGCTCCAAAGGTGTAATTATTTGGGCCTGTGCGTGTAAAATACAAATGAAGCATCAAACCTTTATCGGAATGGTTTTGCGGTCTCGAATCACTCGCCCAAGTTCAATCACAGACTGCATCCGAGAAACCGCTCTCTCCGTGTTCTTGTCAATCAGCTCCTCCCTGACGGCAGAAGTGGGCGTGAGAGGGACTCCATGAAGGGCAGACCACCCCAAACGACCCGAGCTCGGAGGGAGGAAAGGGCGGCCCCTCTGCAGCCTGAGGCGCAGCCGCCACGTGAGCCTTCCCGGGCCCAGGCGGGGCTTCAGTGATACCTGATTCTTACCGAACATGGGGCAGCATGAGGTAGTGGATGCTGTGTGTGTCCTTGTCCTGGACAGAAACAGGGTCGATCAGCAGCTTTAGATTCTGGTACATCAATTCGGTGAGAAAAGGCGTATAGGGGGCCTGCATGAGGACACAGGACATCAACTGACCTCAGATGGAGGAAAAGAGCAGCTCCACGCAAGTGGACAGGACCCTAACTTTCTGACCCTGGCGGGATGGTAGCGGCGGCGGCTACAGCCAGAGCCCCGAAGCACCCAGAGGAGGTCTGCAGTAACAATAGGAGCCCCAACCATGACCCCATGTCCCCACACCTCAGAAACCGCATCAGAGAGCTGGGGAAATGCTTCCTAGGGTGAAGGTGAATGAGGTCAGGTGAGAGGCACCAGGCACAAGGCAGGTCTTGCTCGTGTGTGTTCAGGAGTGAACACAGGGCTTATGACCTCAGGCTGTAGTAGTAGCGACAGGACACATGTTCAGTAAAATGTCCTCTGTGACGTACTTGTGTATTAGATGTGCATTCAAGAACTTCCCCGTTATGGTGACAGGAACCCGCGTGAAGATGAGGTGTGTGCTCACAGGGAGCTGTGGCTCGGCCGTCCCGAGACCAGCACCCTGACCCAGTGTGCGCCGCAAGGGGCGGACAGGAAGAACCCAGCTCTAGAAGCAAATGTTTCTTAGGCCTTCCTGACACAGACGAGCTAATGAGATTTTTGAAAGAGAACTAGGGAATTAAGCTGTTTTAAAACTCTATTTCTCTTTCTGGGGAGACCAGTACAGACCAGCTGCAACGCCAGGGCTGCAGGCCCAGCACCTTACCATCAGTCTGCACAGAGACAGCAGGACGCTGAACAAGGTCTCCAGGGCCGTAACACAGTCCTCCACCCCGTTTTCACCCTAGCGAAGAAGCTCGCATTAATTAGACTGTTCAAATCCAGTCGGTTGAATGAAGAATGGCGACCCCACAGAGCACACAGCACGCAGACAGGACAGGGGAGCCGGGGCAGGCGGCCAGAGCACAGCGTCAGGGTCAGGCAGGCGGCCGCTGCGGGCCCTGCTCTCCCCACCTCTGAGCCCAGGCATCTGAGGCCCGGAGGCTGCGTCTGCCACGCGTGCAACACGTGGCAATGGTTACAAACAGAAAATAGCAATTACTTTAAGATAAGATTTCTTATTTAAAAAATGTATATAATGTATATTTAGGAAATAATGACACTAATCCACTGTAGGAAAAACACAAAGATTATAAAAAAAAGAAAACCATAATGAAATGATAGAGATAGGTGCTGTCAACAGTGTAGAGAGAGCTCCTCTGCATGTGGGCGTGTTGTGTGTGATCTATTTTAACAAGAATGAAATTACTGTTTTGTGAAGGGCTTTTGTCATTCCCACATCTGGAGGCAGGCTGGTGGGCCGTGGCACGGGCATCCTCACAGTCTACGCGTGGCCTCTGGGCCTGGGACAGGACTCAGCCCACATGCCCAATAGGCTGCCCGTACATAACTGACTAGAGGAAGAAGCGAGGAGAGGCCCGACTTGAGACCAGAGCCACCCCCCGTGACATCACATGTATCTGCATGACTTCCTTTTGTGTTTTAAGAGAATCTGCTCAGCTCAGTCTTGTACGGCCCCGAGACTTTCCCTCTGACAGGACACTCCTTAGTTGTCTTGAAAATATGCAAGCGGACTTCTAGAACTTATAGGTTCCTATCTATCAAATGGCAATAAACGTAGCTGACTTCAATGTAAAAAGGACAAAAGAGAAAGAGCTTCAGAAGCTGAGAGCACTTGAAAACATTCCTCTCTCTTCTGGCTGCACTCCTGTTTCTTGGAGGTCACCCTCCCACACTCCGCCGCTCCCAGCAGCAGCCTGCGTGCGTGCACTCACCTTCAGCCTTCTGCGGTTCATCCTGACGTACCAGTTGGTTAGGATATCCACAAACTTGACCAGGCGAGGCACCACCGTGTAGAGCCTATAAGCTGAAAGCAGACCATCAGCAAGAACAAGTGAGCATCTAGGGCGCAGGGAAGGCCACACGCAAACAGAGCAAGCGGTCTTGCCATCCCAGGGCTGTCACACTTGCTCAGGAGACAGGAAGAACAAAAGTGACGAAACCCTGGTGGCATTCCCTAAGGATGAACTACGTGGCTGTTGGTGTATCAAGAGCATAGATGACCCACCCTGTGAGTGCACACAAGCTCCTGTGGTCAGTGAGAAAAAGAGAAGCCCCAGACCCATGGGACACCTGGGTGGCTCAGTTGGTTAAGCGTCTGCCTTCAGCTCAGGTCATGATCCCAGGGTCCTGAGATTGAGTCCTGCATCAGGCTCCTTGGTCAGTGGGGAGCCTGCTTCTCTCTCTGCCTGTTCTACCTGCTCTCCTTGCTTATGCTCCCTCACTCTCTCTCTTTACAAAGAAAGAAAGAAAGAAAGAAAGAAAGAAAGAAAGAAAGAAAGAAAGAAAGGAAGAAAGAAAGAAAAGAAAAGAAAAGAAACGAAACTCCAGACCCATGGTGGAGAGGCCACAGCTGCATGTCTGACTTCCTTCCGCTGCGCTACCCTGACCCTCCACTAAGACACCCTAGACACACAGACAGCTCTAACCAGGGGCTGAGGCCAGAGCTTTCCAACTAGAGCGACTCTGCTTGTGTCTGGAGACCCATTCCAGCCATCCCAGCTGGACCCCAGGGGAGCTGCTCAACAATGCAGAGCCCAGCAGCCCCACCCCGCCCCCCCGAGAATGTGCAGCCCAAACCGCCAGCAGAACGGGTGCCCCAGGAAAGGACAAAGACATGAGGGCCCCCAAGAATTCTGAGGGCAAGCAGGAGGGTGACGGTGCCCAGTCCGTCTTGTTTAAGGTAAGGGCCTATTTTTTGGATTTTCCCATTCACCTCCCTGTAACTGATATTCTCGGTTACACAAAAACAAACACCGAAACCAAGAGTAAGACCAACAAGTATAAAAAACACAACTTATACTAATGAAAGTGTTCAGTGACCGTTAAGAGGCCGCTGGTCCAAACTGCCAGGGTGAGAAGCTGCCACTGGCAGAGCGTGGCTCACGAGGACCAGAACTGAGGTGCCAGCGGCCACTCGCTCCAAGAGGTGACGTGGCGATCAGAGCCCTAGCCTGAAGGAAGGAGGTCATTTCTATGGCTCGCCACACCCCCCACCTTCTAGGAGGCCAGGGTTCCCTGTGCTCAGGTGTCATCCCTGGAGGGCACACAGAACCCTCACAGCTGTGCCGTGCGTAGGAGCAACACTGTGGCTGCCGGGCTCCCTAATGGAACTGCAGACTCTCCAGACCTCAGAACCTTACCCAGGAGGGGCCAAGGGTACGAAGCCAGCAGGCTGTGGCCCTGGGGTACTAGAGCAGTCGGCCATGGAAACAACCACTGCCAGACCTTTCGTTTCCAAGGAGACAGACCCCAGCTGGCATGCACACACTCGGGACGTGGCTTGGCTCTGCTGTCCCCAGGCCTGCTTTCAACAGTTCATGTCACTCAGGAGGGACAGGGACAAGGCTGTGAGCAGGTGTCCTGGGCTGCGTGGTGAGCTCCGCTTGCACGCTCACGCCCATCTGCACCTACAGCAACTTGTCCAGCAGCCACATGATCCTTCTGATGCGAGTTCGAAGGCTGGGGGCGGGCTTCAGGATGCCTGGCAGCCTGTGGGAATTCCTGGACTCGACATCCTCTTGTGCCAAGGGCTGAGGCACCAAGATTCCAGGAAGGCCATGTGCCTGCACTACTGCACCACCTGGGGCAGGATGGTTAACCTTGACAGGGGACATCTGCCCACCAACTTTGTTGGACCCATGTCAGGTATCCTACACTTCAGTAGTTTCTGGAGTTCCCCCCAGACTTAGTTTGTTCTGTCTCCAACCTCGAGGAAACCAACATAACCTATGTCTCCAACCTGTGTCCAAGACACAACTCGTTGTTATAGGTAACAAACATGGGGAAAACATCCACCTTATTACTATTTTTCTGTATTTCCTTATTTTTCTAAACATGGACTACTTATTTAATAGACTAAAAAACACACGCTAACAAGCACTCCTTGAGCATCTCTTGTCTGCCAGCTACTCTCTGCACACAATCTCTGTCTGAGCCTTGTAACACCACCATCAGGAACTTTTCAGAGAAAGAAACCGAGGCCTGAGGAATTCGGGCAGCGCCCACCAGAGGGAACAGGTGGTGGAGGTGGGTTTGAACCGTGGAAGGCCGCGTGGTGTCTGTGGCCGGTGGGGTGAGGCTGAGCTGACCCCCAGGCCTCTGAGCAGCATGATTCTACAAGTCTTAACAAAATCATATTTGAGGGGTTAAAAGAAACAAGGATTTATCTAGTGTTCCATGTCTCTCAAAATGTTTATAAAACTCCCTCTGTGTTTCTAAAAAAACACAGTTAAGTATTGAAAGGGTAATCAGAAAAAGAACTCTTATTTCCATTTCCATTTACCTGCCATTTCAGTCTCGAAGAACCCAACCAGCGACTGCATGAAAGACAGGACCCACCGGTCTGTGATGTTGGCACTTTCTTTAACTGTGTTCTCGTTGTAGAGGAATTCCGTTTCTTCCTCCTGTGAAGTGACAAGTACTAAAACATTCAGCATGCTTAGGGAAAATTACTGTACAGAAACAAACTCTTTAAACCACTTAAACTGTAGGGCATCTGGGTGGCTCAGTCATTAAGCACCTGCCTTCAGCTCAGGTCATGATCTCAGGGTCCTGGGATCGAGCCCCACACTGGGCTCCCTACTCAGCAAGGAGCCTACTTCTTCCTTTCCCACTCACCCTGCTTGTGTTTCCTCTCTCGCTGTATCTCTCTCTGTCAAATAAATAAATAAAATCTAAAAACAGACAAAAAACCCACTTAAACTAAAGTGGCCCACAACAGCAACCCACAAAACTCCAGACCAAGTGGCAATTTAAATTACTGATTCTCAGCAGTATTTTCCAAATAAGCTCTAAACTTGGGATATAAAGTACTCAGTTAATGAATTATATTTTTGACTACTCTGAACAGAATTTAGGAAAAAATTATTCCTTTGAACCAAAAATGATTATGAGTTGAGAAATATTCCAAAATCTTGTAAGTGTAGGATTTAGTTACTTCAAACCCAATGAAGGAAAGCTAGTAGAGCTGGCTAGGGCTGGACAATTGTCTACAGACTGAACATGAGCATTAGGAACTAACATCTCTGCTTAAATTGTCCATTTTAACTAGAATGCTCTGTCCCCCTCCTCTTCCCTTTGCAAAACTGTCCTAGTACTGAAGGTCCACTCCACCTGTCCCCCTTCATGCAGCAGCAACACCAGGCTGGCTGGGCAATGGTTGTGCTGACTCTGGCCCTGATCTGAGAGCCTGATGGTAGAGCCGGCGTCTGACGGCCAAGCCCAGGTGGCCTGTGGTGCTCTGGTGTCCCACAGCAGCAGAGGCCTGGGGAGAGCGTCTGCCCTCCTCAGCTCACAGGGAGAAGCCCACATGGGAGACGAGCCAGAGGTGGCAACATGGGAACAGCCAGCCTGCCCGAGGTGACACTCATAGCTCACGCCTCCAGCCCATTTCCAGAAAGCATCAACATTGTACGATTAGTCAACAGTAATGTACACAGTGATTCTACTGCAAGTTGCTAGACATAAAAGATGAGGGGTGTTGGAATCTGACCCCAAACGGAGCCCTGAGAGCACAGCCAGGCACATGGGTTTTCAGATGGTGCCTCCCTGGCCATCACGCACTTCCACATGTGCCATCCTCCTTCCCCCTCTAACGGCCCAGTGGAAAGTCTCTCACTTCCAGAGTCTGGACCTCGATGTCTCACTGAGCACTGCCTGCAGCGGCCTTTACCAGGTGTCCCCTCCCTGGGAGTGGTGGGCTCTTCACCCCCACTGCCACCAGCCTTGGTTCCATGAGGGGAGGCCAACAGGGGAGTGGAAGCACCTCCCACAGGGGAGGCCCCAGTGTCTCTTGAGGCCAGCAGAGCCTGCCCAGCACCTTCACCAACCGCCCCCCAAGCAATGGCCCTGAGTCCCACCCACAGGGACTGCTGGCAGCACCACCCACGCTCTGGAGCAGACCCAACCCAGCCCAGCCTGCCGGGCCCCCACCCCACACCTTCTGCAGCCTCAGGACGTTCTGGATGAAGAAGCGGTAAGCGTTGTACCAAGGGAGCAGCACATCCTTCAAGACATCACGCACACCCTCCTCCTTAAATCGAAGGTTTTCTGCTCTCACCACAGGGGAGTTGATCAGATACAGTCTGGGTGAGGAGGAACGTTACATGGAAAAGGAATATACAAATTAATACAAGTATTCTTACTAGACATGTTGACACTGCAAACAGCATTTTTTATAAAAAGGCAAGAATTAAGAGATATACAAAAGACCTAAGAACACTCTTAGGTTAATTTAAAACTGACAAAGCTCTTTGTGCAAGAGACCTAGCGAATAACCAAGGGGAGACATAACCCCAGACCAAAATATGGCACTTGACCAAGCTAGAAGCATGCCCCGTGCCAGTGTTGGTGTGGGCCTTGGGCAGCGGGGCCTCCTCCCCGGACACCCTGCACAGGCACTGGAGTTCACAAAAGGATCCGCCGCAAGTGCTCTGCCAGCACACAGGGGTTCCCAGAGGGAAGAGGCCAGGGATGTCACTAAACATGCTCAGGACAGTCCCCATAGCAGAGAATGATCTGGCTTGGTTGTCAGCAGTGCCGAGGGGCAGGCTAACCACTAACTGGGGGGTAGGACTCCCCATTAACTGTTCCTAGGTTCAGCCCCTGGGTGTGGTCTCCGTGGCTGCAGCAGGAGGATGCAGGATATGACCACTGTGGCTCCTTTTGACCCCGACACTTAATGGGCATGACAAGGACTAACATTTCAAGCAGTGCTTCACATTTCTCTCAAAGCTCTTCAGTACGCATTTTCATTTGCCCTAGCATAAATAATCCTCAGATGGCTCTTCCGAGCTGTAAGCACAGAAAAGAAATAAATGGCCAATGAGATGGAGAGCCAGGCAAGGGAGTGAGGCTGAAACCCCAGTGGCCAGCCTGGGGGCAACACAGATCCCGGTCCTTAAAACCTCTTGTTCCTGAGAAATATTCTTATTCCTGAGAAACCGCCTTGAGGGTTTGAAGCCAACACCACACTGACTTAACTGTCCCGGTAACAGAGATAAAGTTTCAAATCGCTAATTATGAACTAAATCAAAGTTACGTAAAAAGGACATTATGCACAGGGCAGAGCACTGGCTTGTACCTGAGGGCGTCGGCACCATATTTATGGATGATTGAAAGTGGATCCGGATAATTCTTTTTTCGCTTGCTCATTTTTTGACCATCACTTGAAAAACAAAAGGGAGACGCCAATGAAGTAAGTCACCATCACAGCTTATCTTACAACAGTGACAGGTTACTTGCAAAATGGAAGACAGAAATGCAAGTGGGATAAGGGCACAAGTGGCTATTAACACCTGTGAGCTTCTTTCTGAATTCCGCAGTGAAGTCAGTGGAGAAGCTAAGAACATGGGCTCAGCATTTAATCCAGAGAACTGGAAACTTGTATTGATGCAAAAACCTGTAATGGAAGCTCCCAGCTCTATTCAAAGTCAGCGGCCACTGGAAATAACCCCATGTCCTTCCCCAGCACCACGGGGCACTGCTCAGCCATCTGGAGGAAGTGACTGAGGACACACCCATCCCGGGAGATCTCCAGGATCCCACTGAGGGGAAAAGCCAGTCTCTAAGGTCATAAGTGGTGTGATTCCATTCATGTTACATACTTGAAATGACAGAGTTCACAGAGATGGGGAGAGATGAGTGGTGGTCAGGGGCTGGGGCTGAGCATGGAAGGATGGGGGATTACAGAAGAACGGAGGGGTCCTGGGTTGTTGAAAGAGCCAAGCACCTTGACTGTGCTGGTGGACAGGGACCTACACGTGTGGTGTGTGTGCGCAACTGCACACAGCAGCACACAAGTATGCATAAAGTGCAGAGTCTGAGGAGAACAGGGGCCATATCTGCAGCTGGCTGTGGTGGTGTTCGGGGGAAACTGGGCAAGCACATAAGGGCTCTCTGCTACTATTTCACAACTGCATGCAAATCTACAATTCAACAAAATTTTCAATTAAAAAAACAAAACAAAACAATGGGGTGCCTGGGTAGCTCCGTGGGTTAAAGCCTCTGCCTTCGGCTCAAGTCATGATCCCAGGGTCCTGGGATCAAGCCCCACATCGGGCTCTCTGCTCCGTGGGGAGCCTGCTTCCTCCTCTCTCTCTGCCTGCCTCTCTGCCTACTTGTGATCTCTGTCTGCCAAATAAATAAAATCTTAAAACAAACAAACAAACCAAAAACCAAAAAAGCAGACTGTCGAGCCAGCTTCCTTGGGTATAAAACATGAAGTTACCATCATTTGCTATGTGACTTTGAGCAAGTTGCTTAATTTTTTTATACCTCAAATTCCTCAAGTGTCAAACTGAGATAAGGAAAGGACTCACCTTGGGGTGCCTGCGTGGCTCAGTGAGTTAAGTGTGTGCCTTTAGTTCAGGTCATGATCCCAGGGTTCTGGGATTGAGCCCCATATCTGGCTCCCTGCTTGGCGGGGAGCCTGCTTCTCCCTCTCCCTCTGCCTGCTGCTCCCCCTGCTCATGTTCTCTCTCTCAAATTAAAATCTTAAAATCTTAAAAAAAGAAAAAAGGAAAGTACCCATCTCAAACAGTTCTGGGGCTTGGATGAGAGAAGACATATAATGTTCACAACATGGTTATCAGGGGCCGTCCTCCCTCAGACAGGATATGAGGCAGGGTAACTGCATACATGTTTTTTCTTAGTTTTATTGATTTGTGTTTTTTCTGTTATAACTATAGCAACAGAAAAAAAAAAAAAGATTCCCTATGATCCTGGAAACTCTAGAACCCTCAGCTTCCTCATATTAAACAGCGGTTAACAACAATCTTCATTAAAGGGCCGGGCGCACATGAAACCAGTGCTATAGGCACATGCACCTGATCCAATCCCCCACGACAGATGTTCCATCGCCAGCAGCATCACAGGACACATGCCTCCCCCGCCCCAGCTCCCCATCTTGCCCTTCTCCCTGGGGTGGAGGGTATGTGCAGACGCGCACTGGAGACAAGAAGTGAGCAGATGGGTGGGATGGAAAGGAAGAGCAGTGAGAAGTGTTAACAGCAGAGGGAAGGAGGAGAGCAGGAATAAAGCTGGGGTGACCCTAAGTTCCTGTATTCACAAAGAATGGCTATGTCCACCCGGACTATGGCTGCCAGAGCAAAGGGGGCCAGGGACCGGGGCTAATCACAACACAAGGATGTGCACCTGCCTTGCCAGGACGAGCCCGTTCACAATCACGTTCCTGAAAGGCGGCTGTCCAAAAAGAGCAGTGGCCAGCACCAGCAGGGTGTAAAACCTGGAAAAAAAACCCAAGAAGAAGACAGCTCAGCAACAACAGAAAAGGAATCTAAGCATAGGGGAAAAAAAAATCTGTGCTTATTTATTGGACTGAATTTCTACTGTAAGTTACACCTCTTAAAAATCACTTACAGCAAAGGTTCTTAATCCAGTAACACATTAGAGTCATTTGGGGTGTGCTAAAAAAATCACATAGGACCGACCGCAAAACCAATCAGTTTAGAAAACATAAAATGTGATTTATGGCTAACGAAGACCTGGACCGAGTACTGACCCCCAGCCGCTGAGGACAGTACTGTTGACCTCCTCGGGGGAGACAGCTGGCAGCCACAAGGCAGAAGGGTGACAGTGCCGGCCTTCCTATCAGGACCTCCAGACATGTCAGGCTGCAAATCCAGAGACGTGTGTGGCCTTAGCACAAGGCCACATGGGACAGTCTGATGACAAAAGACACAGACATTCTCACCCAGAAGTCAGAAGGCAGAGACTGTAGGAGCACAGGTGATGTCTTTGCTCTGCCAGCTGTCACACCGGCTGCTGAGTTGCCGGCTGGCTTGTTCCTAAACTCTACCACCTCCCTACAGCCACCCCAGTACATGATGCTCTGGTGTCATCTCCAGGCTGACTCTACACTCCCAGAACACGACGGGACATGGACTGATATCCCTTCCTCTGAAGGCAGGTCAGGACTTGGTTGCTAGGACAGGCAGCCCAAGTATGAGGGAAGGGGAGGGAGGCAGCGAGCGCCTACGGACCCACGTGAGGGCTGTTAGATGCTGACAGACATCACCAGGCTTCAAATGACTTACTGGCAAGGCGTCTTCCCTAAGAAAGGTCTTGAACCTGTGCCTAAAGAGGAATGGATTGGATGCTAAAAAGAGCACCTTCTGGAACACTAAGGATGGAATTCAATCAACTTGTCGTATCTACTACAAAAGTGTCAAAGCAATGAGACCTACTTTCCTTAAACATTTCTGCAACATCACCACTAATTAAAGGAGAATCAAGGAGAAGGTACTGTACCTTCCTCTACTTCAGAAGATGATGACATTGCTTTTAACAGGTACCAGATAAAACCAATGCCGAAATCCTCCCCCCACCATGGTTTGTCTTTTTCCCCCAGTCTGGATTTTTAGAATGTTAATCGTTTAAGAGTAGCCTCAACATCTGAGCACATTTCCAATCAACCTTTAAATTTGTAGCACCCAAGCCATTATCTTGCATGTACTCATTAAACATTTGAGTAAATGATTTAAAATGAACAAGCTGAGGGCCGCCTGGGTGGCTCAGTGGGTTAAAGCCTCTGCCTTTGGCTCAGGTCATGATCCCAGGGTCCTGGAATCAAGCCCCGCATCCGGCTCTCTGCTCAGCAGGGAGTCTACTTCCCCCTCTCTCTCTGCCTGCCTCTCTGCCTGCTTGTGATCTCTGTCTGTCAAATAAATAAATAAAATCTTAAAAAAAAAAAATGAACAAGCTGAGAACATATACTGTTTTGTGTCACTTAATCTTCAAGTATAACAAATCTATCTACTCCAAAATGTCTATGAAATACTTTAAACTGTAAAATCACAAGTTTACTGTAGTAAAAGATCCCAACTCAAAGATACTTTACTAGTATACTTGGCGGTGAGGGGTCAGAGGGCAGGAGCAGAGCCTGTCTCGTTTGACAACCTCTCCAGCACCCAGCTGATAAACACTAGGTGCTCAGTAAAATATCTGTGAAATCAAATCAGATCAGTAAAATGACTGAAACAAGAACATACCATCCTCTGGTCTGGTCAATGCCTTCGGCAATGAAGTCAGCAGGAAATGCATCGTCAAACTCCCTCTTGTTTTCAAACGGATAATGAACTTGAGCGTAGGGCATGCTGCCGCTCTCGAACCAGCAGTCAAACACTTCAGAGATGCGACGCAACACTCCCTTCCCACAGCGGGAAGGGATGGTCAGATGATCAATGCTAAGAAACATGCCAAGCCATGTCTATTAATTTCAACCACAAAAGGACTTGCAGTTTAATTGCCAAAAGGAAACACAACACCCTGATGAGATTTCATACTCCTTTGCAAGCAGAAATACTGGCAGTTATCACAGGCCTTTAGAGGCACCAGGGGGCTCAATACAGGGCTTTTTACCAAAGTCGCCCACATCCAAATCAAAGAGGCCACCCTTCCTCAACATGGCATGAGTCATCAATGATGTAATTCAGTAAACCAGTATTTGATTTCTACACACAGCTCCGTAATCTGCTTCAGAGGCCATGTCAATGCTCTCTGAATGACACAACGAAACTGAATCAACATTCAGAAACTACCTCTCTCTGTGAAGATCAGCGATCTTTGCCCCCGACAGCTCTTCAAGTTCTGCCATTGATCCAATGCATACTACCTGTCAAAGCAAAGTTAAAAAGCAAGAGAACCTCAGAGCAAAAATCAAACAGCTTTAATTTATGCAGCATTCACACTTAGTTTTAGAAACCTCTGTTCTTCAGGACAGTTGTCACTAACGTGGCTTACACTCACGAAAGGCTGCAGGTCACTGAAGAGGTGAGTGGGCTCCATTCCTCTGCCACCTACCACTGTCTCAGGAGTCCCTACGTGGAGAGGACCTAACAGCATCATCTCAACATGCCCCTGTTGAGGGCTCACTAGGTCCAGATCTCTGCCCAGTGTAATCAGTGTAAATGAAATGCCTATACTGTGACTCTGAGGCATCTCAGTTTCTTCCTGACATTTGAATTTGACTCCTTGATCAGGAATCTTTCTAAGTTGAAGTTAGAACTAAATTACTGTGCGTGGACCAGATCAAACCAATGAGATCACAAGACATCATGTAGGGTTACGTCCAGACAAGGAGGCTGCCCTCAGCTCAGCTGAGGCCCTGACAGGGTCCCACACTGTGGGGTGGCCCCAGCAGGAGCTGCTGTGGGTTCTCGCCCAGGTGTCTGCTACCTAGGGAACGCCACATCCTCAGCCCTTCTAGTTCAGTCCTAGGAGGCCTGCTGAATTGTCTTTCTTCTATTGCTCACCCCTTTTCTCTCCTTGTGAGTAACTGATGATCAGGCCTGAGAGTCCAGACCTACACCAAGTCATGGCATGTGAAATCCCCCCTCATGGCAGTTAAAAGGGAAGGCTTAAAAAACATTACCAAAGCACTGCCAACCTTGAATTTATAAAACCAGGTGATTGTGTGTATAAATACGTATATGGGTCTATGGATGTACCCCCATGGTGGCTTCTGTCCAGCACGTGGGGGTACATCCATAGACCTATATACGTATTTACACACACATGTGGGTTCCCTAAGAAAAATACAAATTGCCTTCTTTACTTTTACACAGAGGGAGATTTAAAAAATTGTATTTAATAAAAGTAAAGTAAAAATAAATTTTAAAAAACCTCCCAAATTCTTATTTATATTATTCTAGGAAGGAATAAAGAAAAATGGATGAAATAAGAAAGGGGCAAAGAAAAAAGAAACTACATCCAGATGTACAAATGAAGTGCTTCAGCAAAAATCAACGTGAGAACACAAGGCCCCGTCTCACCTCCTCAAAGTCATCGCTGACCCACAGGGGGATGGGGGTGCCCCAGTATCTGTTTCTGGAAATCGCCCAGTCACGTGCATCTTTCAGCCAATTTCCAAATCGCTTTTCTCGCACAAACTCTGGGACCCTGCAATAGACAGGTCAACAGTCAACGCCTGAGAACATCAGTAAGCAAATCTGTAAATCAGATCTGCATAAATCTTTGCAAAAGCTCTGTGGACCTGCTGCCCTAGAGATGCTGTGCTCACTCCTAGGAGGACGTGCTCTGTGTGGACAGCACAGGACACTCACGGTGCTGCACCTATCGTGAATTCAGCCCGGAAATGCTCTGTAACAGGAACCCCACAGCGCACGTGCTTCCCTGCACTGCCCCCAGCTCGGGGATGGCAGCAGCCCTCAACCAGTCACCATGATGCCAACCACCCTGGCCTCACTCCGACCTAGTCTTCAGGGCGTCCACACAATACTGTTGTTACCGACACTCATTAGCATGGGCTCCCAGCACCCACACAACAGGCTGGGCTATGGATGGCTGATCCGGAGCCGCCTCCTGAGGCTCTTGGGGAGGGGGGGGGTCTCCTGCCATTGCACTCTAAGCTCTGGCAATGAGGTAATTCCTTAGAATACAGCTTCTCACCTAACCGCCTCAGCCTACGCCATCCCTCCACCATGATAACCTTCATCCTGCAGCCTCCCCTCCTCTCCTCTCCCCACCAAGCTTAGTCAATCCCATGGCTCCTTATACCCTGAAGTCCAGTTCGGCAGGAAATCTTCCTAAGCAGTAGGCTGGTTAGGGCACCCCGGGCCTCACACATCCTGTTCTCAAGCACCCCAGTTGTGCCCGGTATTACAAAGGTCGGTTTATAGGTCTGTACCCTCATGAGACCACAGCCCAACAACGCATACCCAGCACTTCACACAGTAGGGCAACTGAAGAGCTTCCTAAGAATAAAAATGAAAAACTGCTTTCTTTTGGAGAAATCAGGGTCAATTTGCTAGAAAGTACAAAAAGCTTGTTCATGGAGCACCTGTGTGGCTCAGCTGGTTGAGTGTCAGCTCAAGTCATGATCTCAGGTTGTGATATTAAGCTGTGCTCAGTGTGGAGTCTCCTTAAGATTCTTTCTCTCCTCCCTTTTTTCCTCCCCACCCCCTGCTCATGTGTGCACATGCTCTCTCTCTCTCAAAGCTATAGTTCGTAGTAGTTCATAATCCTTTCCTTTTACTACCCTGAGATTCTCCCCATTCTTCCAAAATGAAATGCAGTTTTTAAGTCAGATTGGGTTCTTGTGGAAGTAAGAAATAGTGATCGCCCTCAGAGCTCTCGGTGAAAAACAGTGTTCCATTAATACACAGATTCAGCCCGACTTTATTCAGCCTTTATTCAGCTTCTGTCCCACCAGTGCTCACTGGCACGGTCTATGAACTCAGCACGCATCAAAAGCAGGAAGCACATATAGCTTCTGTAGGTAGATTCAAAAATAAACATTTATCCTGAAAATGACTATTATCTAAGGCTAACAGAAAGGCAAAATGCTCCCTCCATTTGCCTTATCTTAGGAAGGATGCTACTTCCTTTAATATTATTTAATCTGTGGTCCTGAAAACACAGACTAAAAGAGAGACATCAGAATTATTATAATCTGGGAGAAGTGTGAGCACATGACACAGGACCCTGTGAGGACACTTGGCCCCCTGCTCACCAGTAACACAGGTCGTTGTTCCGCAGGAGCTGGTCCACCATGTGCTCCACCCGCACGAACCAGCTGGGCACGGCTTTGTAAATCAGGGGAGTGTCTGACCTGGGGAAGCAAAAATGCAACATGTGGCTGGTCAGGCCGAGGTATCCAGGCACCCACGGTGAGAGCAACTTTTAGTCTCTTACTGACATCACCCCCATCTACTTGGCCTTCTGCTAAAACTCCTTTTCTTTCTTTCTTTTTTTTTTTTTCAAACATTAATGCCTTGTCCCTGGTCCTGGTCCTCTCCCTCCACAACACCAAGAAGGTAAAAGATTTAAAGAATAAGAAAAAAAATATGGTTCTGCTGGTGTGTGACAGCTGTCTAGGAAATGACAGCAGCTTCAGCAAAGAGGCAATGTGGGAACAGACTTGATGGCACTGAACATTCCAATTCCATGCACATCTTCACAGCACGATCTTGTATTCTAACTTGTGTCATCTTCTATCTCTCCCCAAGTTCCACTGGGAAATTTTAGAGATATGTCTCATTTTAAAGAAATGTGGCCCTGACACAAAACATCTGTACATGTCAATATTTCCCAGACAAGTGCGGAGGAAAAGAGGAACTATACAAGAGGAATGGAATTCAAGAGGGCAGTTTCCCCACACTAACCGTAAAGCTTACAAATGAGAGGGGGACCGCAGACTGTGGAACGGGCACACATGCTACATGGCCCCCACAGGCTAGAAGCTCGAGCTGGAAGTCTTCACTTTTTCTCACCTCCAGCAGAAGGGGTAACTGTGAGTGAAGGTGCTGGAGACAAGAAGTCGGCCTTTCTCCTTCAGAGTCCTGATGATGTTTTTGTCAGCATCCTGTTTAAAAAATAAAAATCTAGCCACTAAAATATCCTGCAATTCTTGGTAACACCCAAGAATTACGTATATAATAATATCTAACAGGCAAAAATAATAATATCTAACAGGCAAAAATAACACATGTAAGGGTGCCTGGGTGGCTCAGTCATTAAGCGGCCGCCTTCAGCTCGGGTCATGATCCGAGGGTCCTGATATCAAGCCCCGCATCAGGCTCCCTGTTTGGCGGGAAGCCTGCTTCTCCCTCTGCCCACTCCCCCTGCTTGTATTCCCTTTCTCACTGTCTCTCTCTCTGTCAAAAAAACAAAAACAAAAACAAAAAAACCCCACATGTATTGTAAAATATACTCTGTCCACAACTGAGGCACAGTCTAACTTTAGGTATCTTACTGAGCACTTCCAGACCACGTGAGGTAGTGAAGTGTTCCACCAGCGACAACGGCCCTGAAGCCTCAGCACTGCTTCAGGAGTTACCAGTCAGTGCTCAGTTCAAAGGACTCCTGCCTGGGAAACTAGCATGCTTCCTCTGAAGATACTAGACCCTTAGAATGTGGCTGCTAATATCTATCTTTTTCTGGTTTGTGCTGAAACCAAACCAAACCAACTTCCTGGAAAAAAAATCCAGATATGGAAGCTATTTAATAAAAAGCTGCTTAAAGAAAGAAGTGTGATGAAACCCACACCTTTCTCCGTCACAGAGACACAGACCTTCACATACTGTCCTGTGAAATCTGTCACTTCTGCCGTGAAACAGCCTGAAGCGTCCACAGGGCAAACGGGAGGAGAGTCTTTCTGAATGATGTTGAAGTCCATACAGACCCGATAGTCGTCCTGGGGACAAGGGGAATGAAACAGGTTGAGTGTGTACCAGATAGGAGTGTGGGAGGTGACAGATTTACAAGAGAATGCTTCAGTATTCTGACACCTAAGTGCAATGGGCTTTAATTATCTTCTCAGCTGAAGTTAATTCAGGACCATTTAGAGAATCCCAGAGCCTTGTAGCTGGACAGGGATTACATCCTCTTCCCAGCCGTTACTGCACACACCCCTGCATACAGGACGGTATCCACTAAAGAAGGAGGAAGATGACACACACGTATCCCTCATGAACACAGACACAAAAATACCCAACAAACTCCACTCGACACTACAGTAAAAGAAATCATTAACCTAATCCTAATCAAGTAGTATTCACTCTGGGGATGTAAGGATGGTTCAGTATCCACAAATCAATCAATGTGCTACATCACATTAACAAAACGAAGGGTAAAAACTCTATGATCCTCTCAATAGATGCAGAAAAGCACTGGACAAAATTCAACACCCACTTGTGAAAAAAACTCAACAAAGTGGGTTCAGAGGGAACATACCTCAACATAATTGAAGCCATATATGAAAAACCCATAGCTAACACCACACTAAATGGTGAAAAAAACTGACAGCTTTTACTCCATAGCCAGGAACAAGACAAGGATGTCCATTCTCACCACTTTTAGTCAACATAGTACCAGAAGTTCTAGCCAGACTAGTCAGACAACAAAAACAAATGAGACATCCATACTGGTAAGGAAAAAGCTGGGCTGCCACTTGGCCGATGACATCTCCGCATTCTCGCCAGCATCTGTCATTTCCTGACTTGTTAATTTCAGCCATTCTGACTGGTGTGAGGTGGTATCTCATTGTGGTTTTGATTTGTATTTCCCTGATGCCGAGTGATATGGAGCACTTTTTCATGTATGACAAATACATTTTAATGGGAAAACCTAAACCACAATTCAAAACCAAGAAGTTTTCTTTTTATTATTTATTATCAGTGTAGGAATCATACCAGTTGACCCTAAAATTATGAATAACTAAAACTGGACTAGTTCTTGAAACCCAGTAAACAGTATTATGAAGACTGCTTCCATCATACTGAGTACTGATCAGGTATTAGGTGACACTAAGGAAGCATTAACTTTATTGGGTACAACAGTGGGATGGTGGCAATATTAAAAATAAAGGGCCATATCAGTCACAGTTGTGTAGGGAAATATCTGCAGATGAAGAAAAGGATGTTGAGGATTTGTTTCAAAATCCTCACGCCAAAGCGGAGAAGGTGTGGGGGAAGAGGACAAGGTAGAAGATAGAAGAAACAGACATCCCAAATGTTGATAATTAATACAGCTGGATGTCGTGAACATCAGGATTTTTTTTTTTAAGATTTTATTTATTTATTTGACAGACAGATCACAAGTAGGCAGAGAGGCAGGCAGAGAAAGAGGAGGAAGCAGGACCCCTGCTGAGCAGAGAGCCCCATGTGGGGCTCGATCCCAGGATCATGACCTGAGCCGAAGGCAGGTGCTTAAACCACTGAGCCACCCAGGCATCCCCAGGATTTATTTTAATACCTCTTTACATCTGTGTATATTTGAAGAGTCCTATAATAAAAATCTCTGCAGAGGTTAAGCGCGAAAGCAAAATGAATGGAGAGAGACTAACTTCACTCCCACGGACAGAACGATCAAGCATTGTCCCCAGTGGGCGTTTTGTTCATACACAAATGACATCAACAGCATTTTTAGAAAATTTTTAGAAATGTTTGCATTTTTAGAAAAATTACTCTGGGAAAAATTTAAAATTAGCCACACCATACAGCTTTGAGGAGGTCAAGTTCTGCTCTCACGATGGCACTTACTCGAGAGTGCCCTGGAGGTGTGGCACCTCTCTGCACTCTGATGATCACAGGGCCTATGTGAGTCGATGCCCTTTTCAGAACTCACAGAACTGCACACCGAAAAGAGCAAAGTGCACAGAGAGTAAATTATGAATGAACGGAAGCAAAATGCCCAGCAACACCCAGGATTCAGCTCGCCATTTTCAGAGATCAGCTCAGAATGAAAGGAAATTGCAGATTTAAGCTTGATAAACCATCTTTGGGGGTAGTAAGCCTGAAGAGTAGGGCCAGTGTGCCCAAGAACGAGGTGCATCACACACACACACACACACACGACTCAGTGGCCACGACGCTCCCTTCCCATAGACACGATTGCAAGACTTCTAGTACTCACAGCACCGAAGTAAGGAGCCTGGTGCACCACTCCTGTGCCCTCCTCCTCCCGCACGTAGTTGTCAGCAAGTACCGTGAAAGCACCATTCTCCTTGCACTGGAACAGAAAGGTCAGCAGGCACAGTGAATGAAACACTGCCACGTCATTCATCAATTTTGTAACAGCATATGATAAGAACCTGAAAAAAACTTTTTTTTTTTAAAATTTTAAATAAAGCTGGTCTCGGGGCACCTGGGTGGCTCAGTGGGTTAAAGCCTCTGCCTTCAGCTCGGGTCATGATCTTGGGGTCCTGGGATCAAGCCCCGCATCGGGCTCTCTGCTCAGCGGGGAGCCTGCTTTCCTCTCTCTCTGCCTACTTGTGATCTCTGTCTGTCAAATAAATAAATAAAATCTTAAAAAAAAAAAAAAAAAAAAGCTAGTCTCCTTAAAAAAAAAAAAAAAAAGTTTTTTTAAAAAGTAGTCTCTGTACCTAATGTGGAGCTCGAATTCCAGACCCCAAGAGGCACACACTCTAACCACTGAGCCAGTCAAACGCCCCTGAAAAAACTTCACATGCACAATTCTTTTCAGGAAGAGGACAGCATAATTCAGATTGGGAAGAAATATGCTCTTTTCTATGAATAATCTCTCTCTTAGAAATGAAATAAGTACCTGAAGACTTGAAAATGTTCTAACTTCCTTAGTCATAAAACTGGGCTTAATTAGTTCTTCCAATCTCCCAGCCCTGCCCTTATTCCCTGCGTGCAGCTTCTCATGCAGCCTCAGAATATGTCCCCTCACCCACCACACCTCTGGAGTGCTGCTCCCAGTCACCTTCCTGTCAGCCCTCCTACAAAGGCAAACCACAAAAAATCTGGAATGGGGGCCCAGAGCGACAAGTTCTAGTTAAAGGCGCTCCACACACTGTAGAGAAACATTGTTGAAAAGTCAGGTTACTACATAAAATGCTGCAGACCTACTTCTACCTTCATCTCTAACTCCTTGCACACACTGATTCAGCTAAACTGACCCTTTGCTTTCTTGTCTTTCTGCTTCTGCAAAATGTACTTTCAGAAATGATTTTTTTCCCCGAAATGATTTTCATACTTAATCACATTTAATCCAATGATCTTATGAAAAAGGCACATAGTATTCCTATGTTTCTTTTATTCCCCAAATATTTTATTTATTTGAAAGAAAGGGAGAGAGAGAGGGAAAGAGAAAGAATGGTGCGGGGGGTGGCACAGGAGTAGAGGGAGAGGGAGAAGCAGAATCCCCGCTTAGCAGGGAGTCCGACAGGGGCTCAATTCCAGGACCTTGGGATCATGACCTGAGCTGAAGGCAGATGCTTTAACCGAATGAGCCACCCAGGCGCCCCTAGTGAGAGTTTGAAGACAAAAAAAAAAGAAAAAAAAAAAAGTAAAATATGTTAAGATATACAAGAGAAGAATGGAGCAATGACATTTTTCAGGAGAAACCAGAGGCATTTCAAAAAAATGTTTTTTCAGATGGTATCTGAATTCAGCTTTGAAGAGTGGGTTGTACATCTGACTTTAAAGAAAGGAGAGGAATTTTTTAAACAGGAGGAAAACATAGTGAAAACAAAGGCAGGGAAGGAGGAAAAGCAGTAAAGGAGATGTTTAAAGCAACATTAGAGGATGTGGTTAGGAAGTAGTCAGGCCAAGCGGAGTAAGCTTGAGAGGAGTATGGGGGCAAGCGATGCAGGCGCACAGGGAGGAGGAAGGTCTTTACAGCTAACCCTTGAACAACATAGATTGAGGGTCTACTTAAACATTTTTCTCCCTAAGAGTGGACAGCAAAAGCCACAAGGTGTTTATTTTCAACTGCCCACCCCAGTCTCCAGGAGACTGAATTAAAGGTGACTGGTACGGAAATGACACCTGCTGCCCTGAGTACCCAGGGAAACTGCCGAGGCTGTTGTCAGTCCCCTGGGGCCCTGGGGACAGGCAGTGCTGCAGGTCCTATGGTGACAGGGTGGTGGGGTCCAGCACCCAGGGCTGGCAGACAGGAGGCTGGGCCACAGAAGGCCCAGAGAGCAGGGACAGCACTGGCACTCCTGCTCCCAGCCCTCTGGGAACCGGGCTCCGGGGCTGCATCAGGACAGCTGTGGCCTGAAGCCTGCTCTGGTTGGGCGCAGACTCCTCCCTTAAAGGCACCCAGCCCACATGTGGCCACAGCTGCTGATGGCCATGGGGCAGTTGCCCTATGTCTCCAGGCCTGCTGGGGAGCCACTAGAGCTGGTGACCCAAAGCCACCGGGTGTAGGACATCGCCTTCCTGGTGGGCAACCACTCCTGCCTGGCCCACCAATATGTGGATTTTTTTTTTCTTTTTTAGTGAAGAAGTTTTCTTTATTCCTTGTTTTCTAAGAGACTTAAACACAGGGAAGCTGAGTTTTATTAAAGGCTTTTCAGTACTTGCTGAGGTGCTGTTTTTCTCCTTTAGCTTATTAAAATGTAGTTCATACTACATTACAGATCACTGAGTGTGATTCTGTAAAAATTCCTACTTCTCTACACTATGCTGCAATTTTTGTATAGGCCACATTCAACCTGGCAATTATTCTTGGAAGTGCCACATCTATACTCAGACTATAAATTAACTGGTATTTATACACACATGTTAACTTTTCCAAGTTTATGTATCATGGTTCTGCTAATCTCATAATATGGAAAGTTGACTTTTTCTATTCTGGACAGTATAAGACATGCTAGGACTTTATACTTTGTGTCTTTTTGTAAAGAAAAAGTTTTCATATATACTTATTGGTTGGGAAAACAAAGTGTTCAGAACTGTTTAAAACACCAAGAAGCTTTTTTCAATAAATGTATGTATACTACTGAAAATACTATTACATATTTTCTCTTCCTTACAATTTTCTTAATAATTTTTTTTCCTCTATCTCAATTTAAGAATATAGTATATAACAGGGGTGCCTGGGTGGCTCAGTGGGCTAAAGCCTCTGCCTTTGGCTCGGCTCATGATCCCGGGGTCATGATCCCGGGGTCCTGGGATCGAACCCCGCATCGGGCTTTCTGCTCGGCGGGGAGCCTGCTTCCCCTCTCTCTCTGCCTGCCTCTCTGCCCACTTGTGATCTCTCTCTCTGTCAAATAAATAAATAAAATCTTAAAAAAAAAAAAAAGAATATAGTATATAACACACATAATATACAAACTATGTGTTAGCCGACTGTGTTATTGGTAAGGCTTCTGGGCAATAGCAGGCTATAGCAGCTATGTGTGGGGAAGTCAAGAGTCACTGTGCCAGGCGGTGCCACAGTACTTGGACGATGAGAAACATGGGAAAACACTCAAGGAGCACAAAAATGAAGAGACAGATGTGAGCAATATTGTGGACAGAGCCCAAATGGCAGAGGTCACCTGCACTAACCAAACTCTATCCCTGAAGAGATGGGGATCAATGGGAAATTCCTGCGGACTCTATTCTTTTGATGATGGTGGTGGGCTTGCAACTATGGAATCTCTGTTGCCAGAAAATGAAAACTGCACAAAACAGCTCTGTGACTCTTAAGAAAACTAAGTTAACACATGTATGAACTTTGCCTTGGTGGCCAGGTTTTAGAACACCCGCCTCATCAGTTTCCTTGAAATGAACTCTGTTTATTGTTACACACAGGTTTTATTCTGAGCACTATCTTAAATTTGTTTAAAACAAACAAACAAACAAACAAACAAACAAAAAAACAGAACAAAACAAACCTAACAAAGAAACAAAAAAAAACAATAAATTTCCTGGATGATATGTAGACTATAAACAACAAAAATATACAAACTTATGTGCTTCCTTTTCTAACCTGAGAAAAGTATTAAAAACATTCCCATAGATTTTAATGATTAAACCAAGAAAGCAATACAAACACAATTTAACTTTGTTACTACTAAGACAGACTTTGGATCAGGACATCCACACAAGCCACAGGAAACCCACACAAGACACAGACACCTAATAAGCCACAGACAACCGTATAAGCCAGGCACACCATACAAGCCATGGGACAGCAGTACAGAGACTCCCACTACAGGCATCATCACAGCACTCCGGTGACCCAGTACTTAGGTACGGAGTACCCGCGTGGTAGAGGTCTCTAAGCTCACCTGCACAAAATAGTCAAACAGGGGCCTGTACTTCTTGCCTTTGAGACAGGTACCAGGAAATCTAGAAAAAGGATAAAGGCAAACCCATAATTAGACTAAAATCCTCAAAGAAATGAAACTACAGACAATTAAGTCACAACTCCCTCCTGGTTTACTACTTGTTTCTTAGTTGTTAATGCTGCAATGTGTGACGTGAATGTACTCAGTAGTATTAGCTGAACTTGAAAAACTGACCTTTTGGGTAATAAAGTGTTTCACCTTTCAAAGTTAACACACACACATGCACAAATCAGTAATTTTATATTCACCTTTCAAGGATCTCATAGTCACTCTCCAATTTATAGAGGGCTGATAATCTGGCTTCCATTAAAATGAGTAATTTTCCTCTGACAACATCTAGGAGAGCAAGGGGAAAAGTGGACTTCAGTGACATTCAAACTTCGGCAGAGTCTAGCTTCTCTGCCTTCAGCTCAGGTCATGATCCCACATCCTCCCTTGTGGGGTCCCATATTGCCACACCCTATTTGCGCAGCAGTTACCAAAAAATGCACCAGGGCACCAATGCACACTGCTTTTCAGACCCAAAGAAGACAAAAATAGCACATGCACTTAACTGAACTTCTCTCCATTTTACATAAAGTAATCTTTATTTTCTCCAACCAGAGGTAATATATGGGAATGCTTAAAAACTGTAACATTAACAAATCAAAAAACTCCCTGAGTAAAAGTCCCCACTCATCTTGACACTATCATTTGAGTGTGTCCCTCCAGGTATTTTTTTCTGTGTATACTAACACAAATCTTATGTAAATGGCTACTTTGAAAAAAAAAATAATTATGGGGTATCAGTCAATACCATTTTCAGTCTGTCTTTACATACTATATTGTGAACATCTTTCCATATATCAACACAGACTGTCCTTTCTCATTCTAAATAGCTGTACTGTACTCCATTCTAAAGAAGTGCAAGTCATTTTTAACCTATCAAATAATACTAGACATTGAAGTTGTTTTCAGATTGTTACTACTGTGAACATGGGGGTAATGAATACCATTGCATTTATCTTTGTACCCTTATTAGAGTGTTTCTGGAGGATACTATTCTAGGAATAGAAAAGCTAAAATAAATGTATAAACATTTACAATTTAATAGCAAATGGCAAATCGCCTCATAAAAAAGACTAAACTCCCACCTGTAAAGTATGACATACCAAAGGATTTTTTAAAAGTTTTTATTTAGGGGTGCCTGGGTGGCTCAGTGGATTAAAGCCTCTGCCTTCAGCTCAGGTCATGATCCCACGGTCCTGGGATCGAGCCCCACGTCGGGCTCTCTGCTCAGCAGGGAGCCTGCTTCCTCCTCTCTCTGACTGCCTCTCTGCCTACTTGTGATCTCTGTCAAATAAATAAATAAATAAATAATCTTAAAAAAAAGTTTTTATTTAAGTAATGTCTACACCCACCATGGGGCTTGAACTCATGTCCCTGAGATCAACAGCTGCATGCTCTTCCAACTGAGCCAGCCAGGCACCCCTGATATACCCAAGGATTTGCTAGAGTCTATGACGTATATTCAGTTCACTGTAAGAAACATGAGAATCAACAGATCATTGAGAAGGCCTTTGCAATTCACTGAAAAGCCACTACAAACGACACTGCCACCCACCAGCTCTGGCTGCATCAGACCTTCACTGTCACCAGAGTCTACGCTTTCTGGATAAAACTCAGGACAAATGGCTCACTAGGTACCTGCGTCGCATGCAGGCAGTGGATGGACAGGACTGAAGTCCTTTCACCTGATGGCCCCTCAGATTATCAGGCTCACTAGAGAATGAATGGCCACATCCCCAGGGAGACACAGGGAACTCTCGCCATGGGCCTGCCCCTGCCTGGAGAGGCTCTGTGCCCATGGCTGGGAACAGAAGAAACCAGCTGCTGATCCTATCTGCTCCTAAGGCACTTTTTTTTTTTTTTTTTTTAATTTGAGAGATAGAAAGAGCAGGAGAAAGGGGAGGGTCAGAGAAAGAGGCAGACACCCTGCGGAGCAAGGAGCCCGATGCAGGACTTGATCCTGGCATTCCAGGATCATGACCCGAGAGCTGAATGCAGTCACCCAACCAACTGAGCCACCCAGGAATCCCTCCCAAGGCACTTCTAAGTAGTAATAAAAACACCTATTTTCTGCACACCCCCTTCCCCCATTCCTTCCTTCGAGTCCTTTGCTTGCTTCACAAGCCGCTGTGAATCAAGTCACCTATCTTGTACGGTCATTTCTTTTCTGACTATGGCTTTCTTTTCTTTCCGGGGTTTCCCTTCCTTCCATAAACTACCCAAACCTGAAGGTAAGAATCTTCTTTTTTCACATAAATCTCTATGGAAAGAGCTTCATGAGGACTTTGCTAACTCTCTACCAGGGACTATCTGAAAGGCACAGAACTCTCAAGTTTTGGTACTGACTCTGTGACACAAGGACTTACAATACATACATATTTCAGTCTTAGTCCCCATTCCTGGCAGAGCTCCTAAAACCTTTGTCATTTCCTAACTGGTAACAGCCATAAAGGGGTTCTTTGTTATGCTAATGAGGGGACGTCTGGAAAGCCCCCAGGTCACCTAAGGATGGCTTTCAATCATCAAAAGCCAATGATTTAATGAATCCTGCCTAAGTAGTTAAGCCTCCATTACCCCCAAGGATGGGGTGTGAAGTGCTTCCAGGTTAGTGAATGCATCCACATGCTCTGAGGGCAGCCCACACCAGCTCGATGGGGGACAGAAGTCCTGTGCTCAGGACCACCCCGACCTCACCCCATGTACTGCATTCCACCATTCACATGTACCCTTTACATCCTTTCACAATAAACTGGTACAGTGTCTCTGAGCTATGAGCTGCTTTAGCAAATGAATTCAACTCGAGGAGGTCACAGGTCTGTCAGAAGCACAGGACTTGCAACTGCCATCTGCAGTGAGGCTGTAGGGGGGTGGGGGGACCGCTTGCAGGACTGGGCCCTTAACCTGTGCAATCTGACGCTAGTGTCTGAATGAGTTCACTGGTTGGTGGGTTCCTGATGATGATGAGAGGCACCTCTCTGAATCTCCAGCTCCTCACCTGTAACAGGGGCATCACGTGTAAAAGTGTATTACAATCTGAAAATTTTAAGGTATCCTTTTTTTATATCTCTCTACTTCTAAAATTTTTATGTGCATTACTTTTCAATCAAAAATGAAAAAAACCCACCTCTTGTAGAGATTATTTTCTATTTAAGCCTAACATTTTTTCAAAAACTTCTATTTTTAGGGGTGCTTGGGTGGCTCAGTCAGGTAAGCATCTGCTTTTGGGTTGGGTCACAGTCCCAGGGTCCTGGGATCAAGCCCCGAGTCAGGCTCCCTGCTCAGTGCGGAGCTTGCTTCTCCCTCTCACTCTGCCGCTCCCCACTGCTCATGTTCTCTCTCTCTCAAATAAATAAAATCTTAAGAAAACAAAAAAATGACAACAAACTTTTAGTTTTACACCAAAAGAAATGTAAGCTTTCATTCTATCCCAAAATAAGGTAAAGTGATCGTCTCTGTATCAGTCGTAAATAACCAGGCCCATACTTACCTTTAATCTTCACATACTGCATGTCTGGATTAACACACAAGGCAAGGTTACTAGGTAGAGTCCAGGGAGTGGTTGTCCAAGCCACCAAAGACACATTTTCATCTTCCTCCAAAGGGAAAGTTACAAACACTGAAGGGTCTTGAACATCCTGAGATAAAATGAGATAAAATACCTTTTTATAAAATCCATAATAATAGGTGCAGAAGAAAAGGGAACTGATCCTAAAAAACAGATTTCCAGAATAAAAACCAGCTGCCATATTTATGAAAAGAAAATACAAAGCAAGAAATTCCAATTTAATTTCTCCATATTCTTGAAAAATGTTTTAACAATTTGATAGTCATAAGTAAAACATTTTAAATGTATCAAGACAAATATGCATTAGAGGCTTCACTATTATAATGACCTACTTTTATAATAAATCCATAAAAAGTCAGCTCAACAAAATAATGCTTCCGAAAGGTAGAATGATTCTTTATTCCAAAATAAAAGAATGAATCATTTTTAAACACCATGTACTTAAAACTGCAATATGCCAATATTAATTCAGTTCATTAAATAAAAAGTTGGTTCCAACTCTATGGCAACATGAAATATCAAGGATTTAAAAATATTTAATAAATAGCTCCAAAGTAGAAAAACTCATCCCCTGACCCAGGCCAACTCACTGAGTTCTGAATAAAGTGCCCTGAGAAGGAGGAGCTCTGGAAACTTCACCTCATCCACACAGGAAACGTCAGGCACACCTGAAGGAGTGCTGGCCTGTGCGCCTGGAATGCCAGCATCAGGAATCCCAGACACTGAGGCGCTGCTCCAAGAAGGCTGGGCATGGAGCACCCGAACAAAAGACATACCCTACGATTCTCTTCTGCTGAAAATGACATCAGTGGGACCACTAACAGAATCAACCTACAGATTAGATGGTAACACTTCACAATGTTCATTCCCTAACTTCAATTACTTAAGAGTATGGATTTTAAGAAATATGTACTTAAACCTTTAGAGGAAAAGGGACATCATGTCTACAACCTACTCTCAAAGGGCCCTGTTCTACTGCCATTTCCTAGAGGGAGAGTGGACAATGCAGATGTGGTCAAAGAGGGTGGCCATCATTATGAACTTTTCAGTAAGTCTAAAATTATGTCAAAAGTTAGAAATAAAAACAAACCTTAGTTGCAACCAACATAACTGTAGATTGGCTAGAGAAAAGACAGAAAATGCTAAGCGCTGGCAAGAAAGCAGAGTACTCACTGGCTGGAGGGAGTACAGATTAGGACTTCCAGAGTAGGAGGCAGCAAACCATGATGCGCGGGCCAACTCTGGCCTCACCCGTGTTCTTATACCACAACAAAGAATGGTTTTGACAGAGTTGAGTACTTGCAACAGAGAACATCCAGCCTACAAGGCCTAAAATACTATCTGGCACTTCACAGTTTGCCGACCCTGGTACTAGAGCTAAGTGTTAATTACACTCAGTAATTCCACTGCTGGGTATGTAACCCATAGAAGACGTGTGTATGCATGCTCCCCACTTCTACAAAGTTCAGAGTAGCACTACTGATCAGAGCCCCAAACTGGGAATCACCTAGATACTCATCAATGGTACAGTGGATAAAGTAAGTGCCAGACAGTAATTAGAACGATGATCTACAACTACACACAACATGGATGACTTTTCACAAACATAACCTTGAGCAAGAGAGGCCAGGCACAATAAAGAATGTAGGGCACAATTCATGTATGTATAATACAATGTCTGAAAATTCAGATGACGTAAAAAAGATAAATACTTTTATATACCACAATTGGTTTACCTTTTAGAACAGAAACTCAGTTTACTTCTGCACAGCCTGCTCATCCCAAGATAATGCACTTGTGTACTTACAGAAGAGAATACCCTCTAAAAGCTCTAGGAGCTCACAGCTAGTCTGGGGATCTAACATGTAGAAATCTAGAAGCCAAAGAAAACTGCAGCATAAGTACACAGGATTTACGTTCAAAAATGTTCTCAGCAACACTGTTTGCTACCATTCAAAACACCTGAAAATGTCTATCAAAAGAATGAATACGCTGCAATCTGTCATATCAAACACTGTACAGCAGATAAAAATTAACTCAAAACTACATGTGTCAAGGTGAAGAATCTTTAAAACTTAATGCTTCCTATGAACGGCAAGGTACGGAGTAAGTGCAAAGTATGGAGTTAAAGACAAGCCTAAGAGCGCGACATACTGTTTGTGAATGCTTAGGCAGATAGTAAAAGTATAAAATCGCGCATGGAAAGAAACACTGGATTGACACAGCTGTCACCTATCAGGCTGTAAGGAAGTGGGAGAGAAATGTGCTGTAAATATATAAATTGTGGACTATTCACTTGCACAGGAGCTAGAACAAAAGATCCCTAACTCCACAGAACACAGATGACTGTCACAAACATCATGCTGAGAAAAGCCATTTACAAATGAAAGCCATTTTAAACAGTGACCTCTCTGTTCATGAAACACATGCCGAAGGAAAGACATCAACAAACATGAGACATTCCAATTTAGAGGACCGTGGAGACATAACCAGCAAAATTCATTACAGGAAGCTCTGTAAGATAAAACCTGTTTCCTAAATGATGATTTTCAAGGGAAAAAAAGGGGAAGACAGCAAAATGGAGACCACCGATGAAAACAGACCTGAAGGACAACTGCAGCCACACATGAGCCTTTCTTAGATCCTGATTTAAAAAAAACAACAACAAACAACAGAGGGAAAAAGGCCTGGTATTTGAGAGACATACAGAAATGTGAACAATGGGGCACCTGGGTGGCTCAGCTGTTAAGCGTCTGCCTTCGGCTCAGGTCATGATCCCAGGTCCTGGCATTCAGCCCCGAATCAGACTTCCTGCTTAGCAGGAAGCCTGCTTCTCTCTCTCCCACTCCCCTGCTTGTGTTCCCTCTCTTGCTGTGTCTTTCTCTGTCAAAAAAATAAATAAAATCTTAAAAAAGAAAATGTGAACACTGATAATATCTAGGCATTAGACCATTATATAGATAATTCATATTACTGATGACTGAGGCCTGTCTTAGGTGTAATAACTGTACTATGGTAATGTGAAAAAAATAAAGATTTCTTGTGTTTTAAAGATATTTAATGTATTAATACAATTCTCAAACAAACTAGGTCCTTTAAAAACAAAGAGGGCTAGATGAGGTCTCAGAAATGAAAACACCTCCTGAGTACACACACGAGAAGAGAAGTTCCACGTTTCAAACTCACCGCCTTTACCGCCTTCTAGATAAGGTAAAGCAGTGAGTGTACTTCGGTGAACATGAGACCCATCTCAACTCTCCTTTCACAGCAGCGACAGCAGTTACTCCATCCATCAGACAAAAAGATCATAATATTGCTGACCAAGGACAAAGCAGATTTGCTTCCAACTACTTGTAACAAATGACTAACACGACAAGGTCCCAGATGAGGCATCCTCATTCAAACCAAGACCTCTTCCAAAAGCAGTGACTGGAGGCAAACAGGGCAGAGCTGGACTAATTAACCCGAGAGAGGCACAAAGATATGGTCAAAACAAGCAGACGCTGTCAGGTAAAGATACGCCGTTCACGAATCTCGAGGGGATAAAAAATCCCTCTTTTACCCTTTATAGAGCCTCAGTTCAGTGACTGGCAATATTACCAGCACTCCGTAAGAAACAGTCAATCTGACGGACTCCCCAGGCTAACATTCCACACCGGGACTGGCTACTGTGATCACAATCCTTTAACTTCCATGGTACAAGTTAATGCCCGATGATATCACACGCACCTTGTAGTTCTGGTGAGATTCGAAGTTGGACAGTGGAGTGTTGCATGCGGTGGAGAAAGGCATGACTTTCACTCCTCTATACACAAGGCCTTTATCATAGAGCTGCTTGAAGACCCACCTGGCAAGTAAAGACACAGTTTTACAACAATGACACAACCAAAATTCTGTCTCCCCAAACTCAGATATTTATGTGTTTGTCTACAGCAGAGTTTCTATCAGCCAATCAAATGGAAAAATCATGTCTCTCAACTGTGGACTGGCTGCAAATTAAAACAGATTCGTAGGAGACATCGTATAGACATTAAAAGTGGTAATATCTGTCCATGGAAAGGGTTCATGACTTGATGTTGTGTGAGAAAAGCAATCCACACCATATTGTCCACTGACGTACTAACTGGAAAAACTGTACATATCCATATACTTACATTTTTTAGAGATGCTGAAAAAGCAAATTTTTACCAATATGTTAACCAATATGTCAACAATATTGTTGGGATTTCAGTTTTTGCTTTTCTTAATAGTTTTCTGGTATATTGCTTAAATTTTACTACATTATGGGCTGTTTTACAAAGGCAATTTAAAAAGAATAAATAGTTGGGATTAGGATATCTCTCCTACAGTTAGTCAAAAACTTTTATTAAACATTTAACCATGTTGCTTTAAGCTAAATGTACCAAGATGCTGACATGTCAATGGTAACAGACATCCTGGGGTCTCCTATGGAGACCTGTCCCGGCTGGATGTCAGGATGCATTGGTGGGAACCCTTAATTCTGTCTTTACGTATAGTTTTTATAGTCCAATTCCTATGTGCTTGGTACAATAAATAAACTCTTTCCCACTTGTTAAAATACATTTTTATGGAAAACTGTGCACATTTTTTCATAGTATTGCTTGGCTTTAAACAAAGATTAAAAAGTGAAGTTCTATGTAAAATTGCCCAAGTTTATTATATTTTTACTGAGGTGTAACTGACATGTAGCACTGTATTAGATTCAGATGTGCAACACGAGGATTTGGTATTTGTACACACTGCACAATCATCACCATAGTAAGTCTACTCACCCTCCATCACAAAGGTTACAACAATTTTTTTCTTATGAGAACTTTTAAGATTTATCATCTGGGCAACTTAAAATATGCACAATGCTATTGACTATAGTCACCATGCTGTGTGCTATGTCTCCGTGATTTACTTATAACTGCAAGTTTGTACCTCTTGACCTCCCTTTACCCACTGCCCACCTCCAAATTCTTCTTTCCCCTGGCAAATACCATTCTGTTCTCTGTGTCTGTAAGTTTTGTTATTTTCTCTTTTTAAAGATTTTATTTATTTACCTGAGAGAGAGAGAGAGAGAGAGAGGGGAACAGCAGGCAGAGGGAGAGGGAGAAGCAGGCTTCCCGGTGAGCAGGGAGCCCAATGCAGGGCTTGATTCTAGGACCCTGGGATCATGACCTGAGCAGAAGGCAGACACTCAACTGACTGAGCCACCCAGGTGCCCCAAAATTTTGTTATTTTAGATTCCACATCTAAGTGAAATCAAAAGGTATTTCTTTCTGACTTAGGTCACTTAGCGTAATACCTCAAGGTCCACCATGTTGTCAAATGGCAAGAATTACTCTTTCTCATGACTGAGTGATACTCTATTTTATACTCCCTCCCTCCCCCTGCATCCTTTTTCTCTTAAGAGGAGTGGAGGGAGGAAGTGGGGGTGGGGAATGGAGGGAGGGGGAGAATCTTCAACAGGCTACACACCCAATATGGAGCTTGATGTGGGGCTCAATCTCACAACCCTGAGATTGTGAACTGAGCCGAAATCAGAAGCTGGATGCTTAACTGACTGAGCCACCAGGGCCCCCACCCCACATCTTTTTTCTTTTTTTTAAAGATTTTATTTTGAAGAAAGAGAGGGGAGCGGGTAAGCAGGGGAGTGGAGGAGGTAGGAGGAGAGAGACTCTCAAGCAGACTCCACCCTGAGCACGGAGCCTGATGTGGGGCTCCATCCCACTGACCCTGACATTGTGACCAGAGTCAAAATCAAATAGTCTGACGCTCAACTGAGTCACCCAGACACGCACCCCTGCTTTCTTTTTTTTTAATCTGTTAGTCAGTCAGTGCACTCTCAGGTTGGTATCATACCTTGGCTACTGTAAATAATATTGTGATGAACATAAGGGTACATACATCTTTTTTGAAGTAGTGTTCTGGGGGTTTTTTGGATAAATACCCAGAAGCAGAATTACTGCATCATATGGTATTTCTATTTTTAGTATTTCGAGGTCCTCTTTACTGTGGAGTCCCACTTGCCTCCATTTCATTCAGGTTTTTTCTTGTTGTTTTGTTTAGAACTTACTCCTCTGTCTCCTCAATTTGCTTGATGCTCCGGGTTGGTTTCTTTGTACCACGTAAAACCGCTACCTCTCCCAGTCTTGAAGGAGCAGTCTCATGTGGGAGATGAACTTTATTGTTCAACCTTGCCCTAGAGCTCTTGGTTATCTCTCAAATTTTGTGATTGCCTAAGCAGTCTAACTTATTCTCCCATCCAAGTACTAACCAGGCCCGACCCTGCTTAGCTTCCGAGATCAGACGAGATCAGGCGCATTCAGGGTGGTATGGCTGTAGACCTGACTTATTCTCAATAGTTCACTGTTGGTGAGAGTGTTCCAAGACCTGTGAGTGTACCAGGGTGAGGTCTCTCTGTCAGAACCTAGTTTCAGGTTGAATTTGAACCCAGACACTCAAGCAGCAGCTTTTACAAAGTACACAAAATAGAGGGGGCGCCTGGGTGGCTCAGTCGGTGAAAGGTCTGCCTTCGGCTCAGGTCATGATCCCAGGATCCTGGGATCAAGCCCCGTGTAAGGCTCCCTGCTCAGTGGAGAGTCTGCTTCTCCCTCTCACTCTCCCCCTGGTGTTCTCTCAAATAAAAAAATAAAATCCTAAAAAAATAAAATAAAGTACACAAATGTGTACAGCCCTGTGGGACCGCACTATAAAGCTTGTGGACTTTCAGATCAGGCAATTTGGTCCCCAGGCTAATAGCTGCAAAAACTGGGTGTATATATTAACTTCTTTCTGGGAGGTATCAGTGAGCAGCAGTGAGGCTGAGAGACAGCACAAATATGGTGTCCCCTGGGGCACATTCCCAAGGACACCTTTGTAGCCTATAGATATAGTAGTAAACCTAAAGGCAGCCCCTCAGGCTGAAGTTCTACGACAAGTAAATCAATCAATCTATCTCTGCCTCCCAGTGCCCATCTTGACGTGGGCCTTTTGTGGTGGAGTTGTTGTTCAGCTAGTTTCCAGGTCTTTTTCCCAGGGAATTGTAGATCTATGTGAGTAGGTGACTTCAGGATCTTCCTATGCCGCCACCTTAGCACAAATTTCTCAAGGTTTTTTTTTTTTTAAAGCTTTTATTTATCTACTTGGGGGAGGGGGAGAAAACAAGTAGTGGGAGAGGCAGAGGAAGAAGCAGACTCCCCGCTGAGCACAGAGCCTGATGTGGGGCTCAGTCCCAGGACCCTGAGATCATGACCTAAGCTGAAGTCAGATCTTAACCAAATGAGCCACCCAGGTACCCCTCAAATTGCCCAAGTTTAAACTCAGTCTTAAATTACATACTTTGACTCAAGGATATTCACAGAAGACTAGAGAAGGATTATTATCCTAAGACTCAGTTTGAAACTTAGGAATCATAAAATAAACTGTGATCTCACGCAAGTTGGTCACCTGTCTTCACCTCGAACAGGGTCCAAACCCAATACCCAGGACTCTATGAATCATGTGGGAAAACTGATAGGGAAGTACTTTATGTAGTCAAAAGCACCAACCCCATCTAAATTATCTGCCATTATTAATGTCATCATTATTAAAGGTCTCTCCTACTATCTTTTTATATTCCCTCTAAACCTACATGCCTTATATACCTGCCAACATGTTCCCCAGTAATATTCTAATACTTAGAAGCTTTCTAAAAAATGAGTTATTTATTTATTTTATTTATTTGAAAGAGAGAGACAGAGACAGCAAGACAGAGCACAGGCAGGGAGAGGAGGGAGAAGCAGGCTCCCTGCTGAGCAGGGACTAGATCCCCCTGACCTGGGCTTAAGGCAGATGCTTAACCGACCAAGCCACCCAGGAGCCCTAATGCTGAGAAGCTTTAAAAACTGTTTTCTCTGATTCAAGTATGGTTTTACATAAAGTAAGAAGTATTGTGTAGAGCTATATTGTCCAACATGATAGGCACTAGCCACATGTGCGCTTTTAAAAAAAAAAAAAAATTATTTTTAAGTAATCTCTGTACCCAACACGGGGGATGAACTTCTAACCCTGAGATCAAGAGTCACATGCTCCACTAACTGAGCCAGTCAGGCACCCTGACATGTGCTAATTTAAATTTAAATTAAAATGAGAAATTCATTTTCTTGGCCATACTAGCCACATTTAAGTGCTCGGGAGGTGTGTAACCCAAATTGTGGTTTTTAGAACTTCTCTGATCTTAAGAAGTCCAGCTGTTCAGTGAATGGAAAGCCCCCTCTTGAGACTCTTATCAGCTTCCAACCTTGCAGTGTGGAGATGGGTCTGGAGATGCGATCACAGGGGCCTGTCAAGTCAGAGGGTCTGAGAACTGCCCCCCAAGGCATCTAGCTCCTCAGAGGCCAAGGACTTGTGCCAAGCATGTACCACAGATCTCGACTAACACCAATGCAAGCAGGTGGACAGGAAGGCAGTCGAAGCCACAAGTGCCTACAAAGCACACAAAGGAAGTGCATTGTACCAAAGAGCTTTGCAACTCACCTGTCACTATGTGTAATTTAATAAAAGAGGCCTTCCTCCAGGCCTGAGGTCTGTGCTTAGGGCACTTGGCAGTCATAATAACGGTATCTGTTTGCCCAGTAAGGAGATGTAATGATTCTCATATAATTATAAGAGGTTCACCTATTAAGACTTAGGCATTGTAACACTTGTTTTGTAATAGTAAAAAGAAGCAATGCTAGTAAAAAGAGGTAACTTGCTATGCAAGCGACCGTATTATACAACTTGTCTCAGTATAAAATACAAGTACACAATCTCTTAGGCTTAATAAACAAAACAAAAACACTTCTGAAACTTCATTTCCCTAAATTTGGTACCAATTTGGCCAAAAACAAACAAACAAACAAACAAACAACAAAAACCCACCAAAAAACCCCCCTCAATACACTTTAACTGACATCAGGCCATTTATATTCTTTGTTTTGTCTACTTAGCATGAACAATTGTGTGTTCTGATGCAAAAATACTGATGTATTTGATTACAGGTTGCTGCTAAACCTGTTGGAGCCATTATATACTAGAGTACATGCATATCCTATTACCTTGGCAGAATCCAAAATTTATTGAATTAAAAAACAAATCTAGGGATTGACAGAGATAAACAGCTAGTACACAGAAGATTTTCAGGACAGTAAAAATACTTTTATGATGCTAGCATGATGGCTACATGTTATTTGTCCAAACCTACAGAACATACAACACCAAGAGTGACCCTTAATGTAAACTATAGACTTCGGGTGATGATGATGTCTCAGTGTATGTCATCAATGGTAACAAATGTGTCACTCTGAGGGGAGCTGTTGGTAGTGGAGGAGGCCATGCATGCGTGGGGGCAGGGAACAGGGGAAATCTCTGTACCTTCCTCTCAATTTTGCTATGAACTGAAAAGTGCTCAAAATAAATAAAGCTTTAAAAATAAAAAACAAATCCATCCCAAAGACTTTTGATAAATAACTGTGAATCTGAAAAACCGATTCACGCTAGAGGATCTCTCCACTAAGCAATAAACAGAATATTCATTATATTTAAATTTCAAGTAAACCTACCAGACAGATTCCATGAATTGTGGATACAGAGTTTTGTAGTCATTGTCAAAGTCAATCCATCGGCCAAGTCTGGTAACAGTGGACTTTAAAAATATGAATGTTAGAGTTATTAAACAATGATATTTGTTATTGCACATCGATGTGTCTCATTTCTATCGTCATCACATATACAATGATTTTGGGAAAACAAAACAACTAATGTTTCAGGTAAACCTATGCAGTAAACAACACACTACGTAAGGTTAAGAACCAATTTTCTTGGCATTCATCCTACATGCAGATGATGTCAGTTAAAAATATTAGGATTCCTTTATAAAAGTTTACCCAAACTAGCATTTGGTATCCACCACAGGTGTAACTGTTTGCTGGCAAGAATCATCAATGGATGCTAAAATTCATAAACAAAAGTATAAGAAATAGAGTATTTCCAAAGACTCCCCCACAGCATACTTAATTACAAAGGAAAAACTGCAAATTAACAATGGGAAAACCTGACATATACTACCTTAGTGAACAAAATTAATGTCAAGAATGAGATATATTGGCATCACAGGCCTCCTGATAATGACAGAATGAGAAGGGCATGATGTCACTTCTGAGTATTCTTGTAAAAAATGCGTACATAACCTAAACTTAATCATGAGAAAACGCCAGACTTTGGGGCACTTTCTACAAAATAACCAGTCTGTACTCTTTAAAAGTGACAAGGTCAGGTGCCTGGCTGGCTCAGTTGGAAGAGCATCTGACTCTTGATTTTGGGGTTGTAAGCTTGAGCCCCATGTTGGGTGTAAAAATTAAATAAGTAAATAAACTTAAAAAGAAAAAGTGGAAAGGTCATAAAAGACAAAGAAAAGTTGAGGGAATCCTCCGGGTTGAAGTAGAATAAGGAAGTATGACAACTATATGCAATGTGTGTTCCTAGACTGGATCCTGGATCAGAAATAATTAGTGGATGGGGCGCCTGTGTGGCTCAGTGGGTTAAGCCTCTGCCTTCAGCTCAGGTCATGATCCCAGGGTCCTGGGATCTAGCCCCGCATCGGGCTCTCTGCTCAGCAGGGAGCCTGCTTTCTCCTCTCTCTCTGTCTGCCTCTCTGCCTACTTGTGATCTCTGTCTGTCAAATAAATAAATAAAATCTTAAAAAAAAAAAAAGAAATTAGTGGAACAACTGGTATAATTTGAAGGTCTATTATATTATATGTTAATTTCTTGCTTTTGATAATTATGTTATGATTATTAAAGGTGTCAGAATTTGGGAAAGGAGAGTATAGGGGAATTTTTCGTAACTATTTTTATGAAATTTTTTGCTAAGTCTGAATTATTTCAAAATGAAAAGTTAAAAAATTAAAAAAAATTTTTAAGGAAAAAAAAAAGCCACATGCATATTACGTTCGTTAGATTTTTTTCCTTCTGGCAGCTAGGCAAGAAAGTCTGACTGCATCAAGTTAGGAAAAAAAAATTATTTTTAATAAAAAATTAAAAAAAAAATAAAAAGTTAAGAGAGAATTGAGGAGCTTGATTTTCAGGTTGATGAAATCAGATTTTATTTACCAGCAAAGAGAAGCCACTCAGAATTCTGAGCAGGGAAGACAATGATGAGCAGTCTTGTGGGAGAGATAACCTGGCAGGATGAGTGCAAAGAATGGGAGCACAAGCCCAATCAAGAGATGGTTACAGAGACTCAGGGAGGGGGGCTGGGGGCCAGGGAGATTGTAGGAATGCAATGACTTGACAAGAGACACTGAAGAAAAAGACTTGATAGGATTTGGCATTTGATTTGATCGTGAGGATGGTGTGTGAGGCACTATCCGCAGAACAGGAAACTCTGGATTTTCCAACAGTAGGTTTGAGAAGTCAAAGTGGTGAGAGAGATGGAAAAACAGAAGTCAGACATGTTTTTAAGGTACACAGACACACTAGCTGGAGAACCAGAGAAGATGGGGGGACCTCTGCTCCTCCACCCATCAGAACGAGAGAGACAGGAGCTCTGCCGGCCTTTCACAGGACTTACGAACAGAAGCAACGGTAGGATGGGAGTCAAATTAATAGAACACTGAGGCCAAATCTGAATTGTTTTTAACAGCAACATTCAAGTTAATCTTTTTGCTAGGACAGCCTGATTCCTGTCATATACAGTGAGTAGGTAGGAGATTAAGTACTGAAGACAGTAAAGTACATAGATAAGAGAGGGCGCAGTTTAAGCTCACAGCTTAATAGTGTTTTACGTAGAAACTAAATACTTCTTTAAAGAGGGCGGTCAACCCTCCTATGTCAAAACCTCACACAGATAGCCATACTTTTGGATGTTTCTCATAAAAAGCACAAAAGGGATATAAACCTTTTCAACTCCATTTAAAAATTAAAGTTTGTGCTCGCTTCGGCAGCACATATACTAAAAAAATTAAAGTTTTCATTTATTCCACTGAAAATAACCCAACATACCTTCCACTCAGTAGAATATCTCATCACAATTGCTCGACACTGATTGTTATACTCTACAATCCCCATTTTGGCTACATCCTCTGGTCCTCTGATTCCCAGTGTCTTATCAATTTCATATTCCTGAAAATTTGCAGTAAGATTGTTAATATCCTTGCCCTCTGAAATAAATGCAATTCAGCAACTCTAGCAAATAACACAGATTTTAAAAAACTGATCTCAAAAATCTAGAGAGAAAATGAACTATAAATAATATTGTAGAAACAAAGTACATTATAGGAAAAATTCATATTAACATTATAGGAAAAATTCATATTAACAAAGTACATTATAGAAAAAATTCATGATAAAATCCAACGCTCATTAAAAGAATCAGAACTTTTTAAGACTGGTGACTCAGACATACCACAGGTAAGCCATGACAATCCCATCCAAATCTTCTCTCAACATGAAACCCATTCTGGTGAGCATATCTGGTAACTATATCTTTAATTGTCCCTGCAAGTATATGTCCATAGTGAGGTAGTCCAGTTGCAAAAGGAGGCCCATCATAGAACGTAAATCTAATAGAGGCGATAAAAAGGTTAAGGGACTTTAAAATAACAAAAATTTAGGACAACATTTTTCTACAGATAGCTCCTATCATAGTAGAGTGATAAAGAGCAGATAGAATGTAGAAAAGCAGCAAACCAGAAAATTCACAGACATAAATGGTTAAATATTTACTGGAGGTCCTGTCTTCAAAAAACCTTGTTACGGCAGAGCTGGAATGACCTTCATCAGACTATCCACACTTGGTTTATTAGTTCCATGACATAAAGCAAGTTATTTATACCAATCCTGAGTTACCTCATCAGTAACACAGGAACAAACATCTCATGATGTTTTTGAACACAGGAGACACATGATAAAAACAGTAAAGAAAGGACTGGTCTTTAAGTGAATGGAGACTAGAAGCAGGAAGTACTCCAACAGGAAGCTAGGACTAGTCTAGTGTTTAAATGAGGGTGGTAAGTATGAGAAAAGTAGAATGGAAGAAGGTGATACATAAACTCTATTCAGACCTCTTAAAGAAACAGAATCTACCTCAATATTTAAAAACTCATCCATTCAATATGTACCCACTGCACAAAGTACCCACTATGTAGAGAGCTAGGAGATGCTGGAAGCACAAAAATCAATGAAGCTTCTGCCTTCATGGAACTCGGTCTAAGAAATGACTATTCTTTTTTTTTTTTTAGAAATGACTATTCTCAAAGACTCTACCATTACCAAAGAAATTCACATACTTCGGCTTATGTTTTGATTGCTTTAAGCATTCCTGAAAACAGTTAAATTCAGACCAGAACTGTAAGATTTTCTCTTCTTCAGCAGGAAAATTGATGTTTTCTGGAACTTGCTGAACCATTTTGTTGCTGCAAGAGAAAAGCAAATTTATTATTCTTAACAGCGAAGTCTAGGAATAACAGAATGGCATACTTTAAAATGAGTGTATGTATTACTATCCATGACACTACACTATACTTTAAAAAACATCACAGCTTTTTTGAATTATAGTTCACATACCATGAAGTCCACACTTGTGTACAATTCAGTGGTTTTTAGTATATTCACGAGGTTGTGCAACCAGGAGCATGCTCTAATTCCACAACATCTTCATTATCGCTCTGCCCTGCCCACTCCAAAAACCTGTCTACAGTAGCAGTCATTCTCCACTGCCTTCTTCCCCAGCCCCCGGGCAACAATTAGTCTGCTTTCTGCAATACTGAGTTTTCTTATTCAGGACATTTCATACAGATGGAATCATGTGTCTGTCTTGTTAGAATTATGTTTTCAAAGTTCTTCTACATTATAACATGTCTTTATACTTCATTATTTTTTATGGCTGAATATTTCGTTGTATAGCTATGCCATAGTTTATCCATTCATTAGTTCATGGACATTAGGAATATTTCCACTTTTTGGCTATTAGGAACAGTCCTCCTATGAATATTCATGTATAACTTTTTTTTTTTTTAATTTTATTTGATGCAGGGAGAGAGATCACCAAGTAGGCAGAGAGGCAGGCAGGTGGGGGGGAAGCAGGCTCCCTGCCGAGCAGAGCCCGATGCGGGGCTCGATCCCAGGATCCTGGGATCATGACCTGAGCTGAAGGCAGAGGCTTAACCCACTGAGCCACCCAGGTACCCCCATGTATAAGATTTTGCGTGGACATATGTTTTCAGTTCTTTGGGTCTACATCCAGGAGTAGAATTGCTGGATCACATGGAAACTGTGTTTAACTTTTGAGAAACTACCCAAAAATGTTTTCTAAAGCTGCCGCCTCATTTTATATTTTCCCAGCAGTGAGTATTTCAGTTTTTCTATATCCTCACTCCTGATTGTCCATTTCTGAATTACAGGAAATCCTGTGGGTATGAAGTGGTATCTTATCATGATTTTAATTTGCATTTTCTAGTGATTAGTGATGTTGATCACATATTCATGTGCTTATTGGCAATATTTATATCTTATTTGGAGAAATTACCATTCATCTTTTGTACAATGTTTAAACTGGGTTGTCTTTTAACTGTTGAATTATAAGAGTTCTTCATATATTCCAGACAGAAGTCCCTTATTGGGACTACAGAATTTGCAAAAATTTTCTCCCATTCTGTGGGTTGTGTTTTTTTGTTTTTAAAGATTTTATTTATTTGAGAGAGAGACAGAGAGAAAGAGTGCAAGCAGGGAGAGGGGCAGAGGGAGAAGCAGACTCCCTGCTGAGCGAGGAGCCCGACGAAGGGCTTATCCCCAAACCCTGAGATCATGACCCAAACTGAAGGCAGGCTCTTCACTAACTGAGCCACCTAAGCGTCCCACCCGTGAGTTGTCTTTATCTTTTTCACATTATTGCTAAAGCACCACTTTTAATTTTAGTGAAGTTAGTTTATCTACTTTTTGTTTTGTTCTTGAGCTTTTGGTGTCATATTTAAGAAACCACTACCTAAAACAAAATTGTGAAGGTTTAGCTCTTATATTTAGGTTGTTGATCTATTTTAAATTATTTTTGTATATTGTGTGACGCAGGAATACACAGTACTTTTTAAAAAAGATCTTATTTGAGGGGCGTCTGGGTGGCTCAGTGGTTAAAGCCTCTGCCTTCGGCTCAGGTCACAATCCGAGGGTCCTGGGATCCAGCCCCGCATCGGGTTCTCCGCTTGGCAGGGAGCCTACTTCCTCCTCTCTCTCTGCCTGCCTCTCTGCCTACTTGTGATCTTTGTCTGTCAAATACATAAATAAAATCTTTAAGAAAAAAAAAAAAAGATTTTATTTGAGAGAGAGCAAGAGCGATAGAGAGCAAGAGAGAGAGAGAAGCAGATACTCTGCTGATTGAGGAGTCGGATGCAGGACTTGATCCCAGGACCCCCAGATCACAACCTGAGCCGAAGGCAGATGCTTAACTGCCACCCAAGTACCCCAATACTTTTTGATTATTGTAAAACTTGTTTCTAAATAACATTCTTCACTTATTTCTTAACTCTAATATAACATTTAGTAATTGTAGACAACATATTTCTAAGAAGAAACAAGAAAATCTTGGAAATTTATGTAAAGATACTAAAAATGCATTAACCTGAAAAAAGTAAATCTCAAAGTAGGTAAGAGTTTTTACCTACACTCACAGGACAGATAGCACTTTTATTGAGATAACCTCATTTCTTTGAGGAAAACAGGTAAAACCTAAAAAAAAAAAAAAAGCTAAAAAGATATGACTCTGACATTCAAATAATTTCTAGCTCATTCCAATTTTCTATTTTATTCCTTTTATTGCTTATTCATGATTTTTGTGTTGGACAAACTGTATACATCCTGGATTTAGTCCCTAGTAAGAGAAGTCTTAAAGTGGCGTTTTTAAGAGTTCTGCTAAAAATCCCTGCAGAAACACCTGATCAGTCTGGGGCTCACTACCTAGGGAGCATCCTCCAACCCATTCCTCCTCAAAGCCTATATATTCTTACTTAATAATTTCAATAAGGTTGGTGACCAGGTTTCCAAACCAACATCAGATTAAAAGGGGACGAGACTGCTAATAATGAGAAAACAACAGAGAAGATAGAGAATCTTAAGAACTCAAGAACTTGGGGCACCTGGGTGGCTCAGTCAGTTAAGCGTCTGCCTTTAGCTCGGGCCATGATCCCAGAGTCCTGGGATTGAGCCCCATGTCCAGCTCATTGCTCAGCAGGGAGTCTGCTTCTCCTTCTCCCTCTGCAGATCCCCTGTTTGTGCACATGCTCTCTCTCTCAAATAAATAAATAAAATCTTTTATTTTTTTTTAACTTTTTAAAAAAAGATTTTATTGAGACACCTGGGTGGCTCAGTTGTTAAGTGTCTGCCTTCAGCTCAGGTCGTGATCCCAGGGTTCTGCAATCCAGCCCCACATAGGGCTCCCTGCTTAGCGTGAAGCCTGCTTCTCCCTCTTCTGCTCCCCCTGCTTGTGTTTCCGTTCTTTTGGTGTCTCTCTCTTTCAAATAAATAAATAAAATCTTTTTTTAAAAAAAGATTTTCTTTAAAAAAAAGATTTTCTTTATTTGACACAGACAGCACATCAGGGCGACTGGCAGGCAGAGGGAGAGGCAGGCTAAGGGAGAGCAAAGAGACCTAAATACCTCAGCCAATTCTGAAAGTACCAAAACCTAAGCACAGTAATTGACCCATGCCATCCAAAAAACCAAAATTTTAAAAATTTATACACATTAAAAAAAAATTTTTTTTAAAGTTTTGGTTTTTTTTTGTTGTTGTTTTTTCACCATCAGTGTCTCTCCAGATGTGAGGCTGTCTTTGGGTTTTACATATGGAAAAAAATAAGACAAGAACATCGAAGCATGTATTTCTGTCTAGGTGTCATTAAATGGTGTTAAACAGAAGTTGAATGGCATTTTGGATCTTTGGATCGTGTTACAATGCCTGGCCTTTCACAGATGGTAAGGGTGTGTCTGTGCCCTAAATGATTTATTAGGGGTTCTGCTGGTTCGGTGACCACCATATTAGAGGCCTACGGAAACTGAAAAGGCTACATCTGAAGATTAACAGATCTTTGGATATCAATACATTTCTTTCTGTCACTTCTAATCCTCCTCAAGGCCAGTTCTAGAATTGCCAGCACCTACGGGAGCTGACTATAGTAGACTTACCAGGCCCACCTTGGACTGAGGATTCAGAACTTGCGTTTTAACAATATCCCAGGGGATCAGCACGCACAGTGAAGTTTTTAAGTCACTACTCTTGAACTGTTCTAATCATTATTCAGGAATAGCTATCTGAAAAAAAGAAATTTTTTTTTTAGAAAGTGAGATTTACGCTTTTGGTGAAAAAGGATTGTAAGTTTTATAAAACTTTCTAGGGAGCTTCTATTCCCCCCCAAATTAAGAATCAGTGCATTATTATGCCAAACACAAAGACTCAACATAACAGCACAGGGAGGAGCTATGTATCAGTGACCGGGCTGTGGAGGCTGCTGAGAGAAACAGCCCCCACGCATAAATCACAGGGTTGCTCTGGCCCTTCACATCCACTGGAGAGCTGTACTTGCAAACAGCATCCAGTAACCACAGGGCGTGGAGTGTAGGGAGCAGAAAGAGGAGAAAGATTAATCACCAGGTCATGCTAAGGGAAAAAATCTCTTCTTCTTCCTTCTTACCATAATTCTCTCCCTCCAACTCTCCGTATTCCAGACTCTCCCAGACCTGTTCAGAAATTTCTAGATAATCTCCTTGACTTTTACTTGTGTTTACTTCAATAGATCTTAGAAATGCATACAAAAATATTTTACAAATAAAGACCCATGGGGCACTGGATGGCACAGTCAGTTAAGCATCTGACTCTTGATTTTGGCTTGGGTCATGATCTCAGGGTTGTGAGACTGAGCCCCCCAGCGAACTCTGTGCTGGGTGTGGAGCCTACTTAAGATTCTCTCTCTCCCTCTCCCTTGGCTCCTCCCCCACTCTCCCTCTCCTCTTCTAAAAATAAAAATAAAAAATCCATGCACTTCCTTGCAACATCTGCTTGTCTTTAATTCCACTGTACTAGAAGTTTCACTATTCCTTCCCATTATCTGAAATCTGAGTCCCCTTAATAGTACCAGATAATCTCCACATCTAAGTGATCACCAAAGTCATGTGCATCTGACCTCTAAGTCTATTTCTGTTCCCTCTTCCGCCTCCTCAGGGTTTCATAATATGTGACAGTAAGTCACATCTCACCCCAGAGGTGGGTCTATCTCCAGCTCTTTCTCAATTGAGTCATATCCTACTAACATATACCCCACCCCACAGATATACTTACACAAATGTATAAAATATGGACAAAGATATTAATTGAAGCATATAGAGAAATATCTGAAAACAACTTAAACATCCATGAATAAGTGGCTAAAATAAATAATGGCACATCAGTACCATGTAGGCATTAAAAATAATCCCAATATATCAAATATACATACTGCCTATATATTGAGAAAGAAAAAAAAGGTCATAGTTCTAACTATTTATACTATGCATATTATCATTTTTAAGAGACTTAAAACATACGTATGTAATTAAAATCTATGTTTAAGTAATTCTGTATTTGAATTTAGAAGGCTATGCATCAAACTTCACTATGCCTACCGTGGCGGGGGCTGGGGAGCATGAAAGAACAAATCTTTGTTACTTCATACCACTTTTTTCGGTATGTTTTAACTTTATCAAAAAAATTTTAAAATAAAGAGAAAAATAAATACCGTATATCCGACATACCACTTCCTAAGAAGCAGCTCTGAAAGTACCATTTTTGTATTAAAAAATAAATTCAGTAACTCCTCTCTTCCAACAATATTCTGTACAGACTTTTCAATAGGGTACTCAAGGCGACCATGGTCTTACCCCAAATTACTACTTTTCCTCCTGACCTTTACTCTTACAAAACTCAAGCACCAGGAACATCACACTGAGAAACAAAACCACTTTCCTGATCTACTACTTTCATGCTTCTGGAACTCTCCCCACATACTCCAGCACTACCCAGCTTAAATAATGCACTGTCCTCCCTAAGGCTTTTATCAATCCCTTTTTTCCGAACTAATATTCCCCTCCCGAGTCTGTTCCTCTCCTAAACCTTGTGGTTCTTACTTCACACACTCTCCAGTTCAACTGTAAATCCACTGCCTGCAGAAGCATTCTTACTGTCTATCCTCCAGCATGTGCTGACACCGATGGTCTGAAGGAATCTCTTGGCCCGAATCCTTAGTTTCCATCAGCAATACTCCTCCCACCTGCCTTTTCAACCTATCCCACTCCATGGTTCCTCCTGGCACAAGACAATGATTAAGAGGATTGGCTTTGGAATTCCTCCCCCACCTTTTTTTTTTTTAATTAATTTATTTTTTGAGAGAGACAGAGAGTGAGTGGGGTGAAGGTCTGAAGGAGAGAGAGAGATGGAGAGAGTCTCAAGTAGACTTCACTTAAGCCCAGAGCCTGACCTGCAGCACAGTCTCACAACTCTGAGATCATGACCTGGACTGAAATCAAGAGCCTGACATTCAATCAACTGATCCACCCAGGCGCCCCTACTGATAACTTACTTTGTTTTAAAAGTTCATGATAAGGGGTGCCTGGGTGGCTCAGTGGGTTAAAGACTCTCTGCCTTCAGCTTAGGTCATGACTAGGGTCCTGGGATCCGCCCTGCATTCGCATCCTGAGCCCTGAGCCCGGCATGGCATCCGCGGCATGGCATCCACATCCCATCTCTCTGCTCAGCAGGGAGCCTGCTTCCCCCTCCCTCTGTGCCTGCCTCTCTGCCTACTTGTGATCTCTCTCTCTCGGTCAAATAAATAAATAAAATCTTTAAAGGAAAAAAGTTCATGATACTACTAGGAATCCCCTAAATCAATTACTTTATCTCTAGTTTCATCCCTCCTGATCTTTATGCAAAACCTGAATGCTAAAACTAAGCCTCACCTTTGTATTAAAAACCCCTCTTCTCTTCCGGACTCATTCCCAACACCTTTTCATTCAACACCAAAACCTCATAAGGCTGGAGGCTGCCATCTCCCACTTGCTCCCTACACACCCTAAAGTTGCAGTGACTGCCACAAGGCCCCCTCTTCTGAAGCAACACACACACTTCCAAATCTTGCCGTACTTACTAGGTAGGGTCCTTCAGACTCAACCTCTCCTCCAAGTTCTACTCAGCTTCCAGGCCCCAAGCCCAGGGCAGCTCCTGAGAAGCCTTCTTTCTCCCCGCTACAAACCCCATAGGAAAACTGTCCTCCTGCTCCGGGCTGCCGGCGCACGCACCAGGCACACGGCATATTCGGCCGGGATGCTGTGCTTACTCACCACCAACCCCAGGTCCTTGGCAATAAACCCTCCTTCCCGCGGGCTAAGACTAGATTTTTTCAAAGGAATGCCCCGATCGTCAAATCATTTCCCCACATTCTGAAATGCCACAACAAATTCTCGCCATCACCCAGTCAAGCCAGCAGGCAGAGCGTGGGTACCTGGGGCGACCCCGTGGGCAGGACGGCGGGGCGGGGTGACCTGGGGCGCCACTGCCGGGAGGGAGGGGGGCCATGTAGGGAGACCCTGAGGGCAGGGCGCGGGGGAGAGGTTTACCAGAGGAGACCCCGCGGGCAAGGCGGGGTGACCAGGGACGACCCTGCGGACGGGGCGGGGTAATCTGGGGGTACTGGAGAGCCTCAAAGGTAAGGCGAGGGTACAACAGAGGCCCGCAGGCAGGGCGAGGACTACCTGGGGAGACCTTGCGAGCAGGTCGGGGGTTACCTGAAAGGCCCCGGTGCAGGCGCACCAGGAAAGAGCTGCGTCCACGCCGCCGCCAGGCGTCCAGAGGTGATGCAACGCTCTGACAGCGCGGGGCAGAGAGGAAAAGGCCGGTCCACTCCGGCCAATCAGCGTGCACTATCCGGCACCCATCAACAACCCGGACCCCGATTGGTCTCAAGGGCTCCAGCCCGCCCACCTGACGTGCAAAGCGGTGCGCGCTGGGAAGGCGACTGCGCTCCGCAGCTGAACGGCTTCTTGCGGACGCCGGCGGGCGCGAAGTTTACTCGGGCTGCGGACTGTGGGGCGCGGGGGTAGCTGCTGTTGTGCCCGCTAACTGCGCGTTTTACGCGGGTGGTGCGGCCCCGACCTGAGTGACCATTGCAAGGTTTAGGGTCGCGGAGACCTGCGGCGGGACATCGTCACCACGGGGTCGGAAAAGGCACAAGGCCCTGGGGCTGAGACAGTTGTGCGCACTGGCCGGGAGGTACGCGCCAGGAGCCCCGAGCCGCCCGCGGGGCTTGTCCTCAGGGAGGGGCGGCGGCGCAGCCCCTCCGGAGTCCCCTGCATCCTCCCGCACAAGCTATGGTAAAAGGGCCACATGCACACACGTTAACAGAACGAAGGGAAGGAAATGCCTGCTGACCAGATTTAGTTATTACTGTTTTAACATTTCCTGTGATGAAAACAAAGTATTTGCTTTTTTATCGATCTGCTCGCTTACAGTGTATTATCACTGCTGTGGGTCTGCCCAGCACCTTCTGGATCCGCTAGTTAAAAACCCTTTGCCACGCAAAGGGCAGCGGACCTCAGGCTTTGGCACCAGAGACTGAAGGGAAGTTTAGGCCTTCAAAGTGCAGAATAATTCTGTAGCAGCTTACTGCATCCATTAGAGGGACAGAAAACAATCACCTGAGACTATGTAGAAAGCATAGCACGTATAAGAACACTTAGAAAAATTTTGTGCAAGCATTCATTCAACAGTCACATTCCAGGTGGAGTCAGGGTCTCACTGCATTGCTGAAATGGGAAACCCTCTAGGCAGGAACATTTACTAGTGGTATTTCTTCATCTTACTAACTAGTACTCTGCTTTGTGCAGTTCATTTTTACCATCTGTCCAGACACTCCAGATTAGAGCAGGATAGAAGACTCACAGATAGACGTGTCCAAGAAAAAAGGTGGGGATGACATGTCTGATCATCTCAAAGTTGGATTGAGAAACATTTTGTTACTGTTGAAAAGGTATAAACCTAAAACCAGAAAGAAGTTGAGCAAGTGGGAAAAAAGTTAAATGTCAAAATCCACAACTTGGTTCAGAGTTGACCCCTCACTTGTTAGAGTAGGAGTCAAAACCTAATGTCTAAAACAAACACCAGGAAGGGGCGCCTGGGTGGCAGTCAATTAATCGCCCAACTCTTGATTTCAGCTCTGGCCGTGATCTTGGCTGGTGAGATAGAGCCCTGCATCTAGCTCTGTGCTCAGTGTACAATCTTCAGATTC